CTACTTTAGTACCACTCTACTGCATGACTCACACCTTTTACAGTGTGGTCTGACCACAATGACACAGCTGAATAGCCCTCTGTAGTGCTGAAACCTCTCTGAAACATCTGTTCTTTTGTACTGTTGGCTGATGACAATGTTATCATGGCACTTTTGGGTTTTCCATTTTGTTTTGTTTTTTATGCAGTTCATCAACCAGACATCGGTTTAATCTGGTGTCCACATTCCTGTCCCACTGGAATCTCATTTTTTTGTTGTTGTTTTTTTGCACCAAAAGCAAATGTAATTTTTTTTCAAAACCTGAATGGCTGTGGTACTCACTGTGTAATATGGATGCAAGCTCTTGGTGGTAATTCCTGTAGTAGTCAGTAGTCTGTTCAGGTAGCTAGACTGGAGGTGGACATGCTTAGGGAACATTTTTCCACAAATGAGTGTTTGAGGGGAGCTGTTATTGATTTTAAAGTAAGGTTGAAAGGTATGGTGAAAAGGGTTTGCTCAGGTTTAGCCACTTGTTGGGACTAGTGATGAACAGTTTGGAAATAAAAGCTGCCTGGGAACAGGTTTGATTTTGTTTCACCCGGGATATTGCAAGAATGAATCAAGAATTTGCAAGTTCTCATAAGTGACACAGACACACATTGGTGGAATTCACATAAATGATTGTAAATTATTACTACAAAATCCAGGATGGACCATTGCATCTTCCTGATTAAAAGAAGATGGTTGATCTGAGTGAAAATCAGGTGGAGAGACGTGATATTCTGAAATCTAAACTTGTCATGAAGCGGAAGTGAGTAAGGGCTCTGTCCAGAGAGAGCCAGTCTCATCAGTATTAAATTGATTCTCTCTCCTGTGCCTTTGATTTAAAGTATTACATACTCGCTAGGAGGGTGAACAACACGAGCAGTAATCAGCTTTACTGTGGTCCCACTGGAGGGTTTCTGAGTATTGTGATCAAGGTGAAAACGTCCACAAGTGTCTAGTACAGTTACAAATGTTGCCAGTAATTGCGCTTACCTCAGTCTCACTGCTGGGATTGAGGTGAATATGTGACTGACAAGACAGATGCACCGCTGCCTGAGGCTCACCCATCTGTCAGATGATTTTAACCTTAGAAGAAAAGGCAGAGTGACATTTTCAGATCTGGGATCACTGCAGTAAGTTCAGCTACAGAGCGGTAGTTTAGCTTTACTAGATTCAATTTGCTGCAAGAAACTTTAATTTTTTGTTGATTCTGGTGGTCCTGGTGGACAAAAGGGCTGGTGTTTCCACCACATCAGGTTGTAAAGATCTTGATCTTGATCATTAAAAATTCACTGCCTCAAGCGTGCATTTGCTTTTGAAGCAAGTGAAAAAAATGAATTTTTAATTGCCTACAATTTTCTTTTTTTAAGACAGATGTCTATGTGCGGTTAATTAAGATTGATAACTGTAATATGGCGATGGTGAAACAAAGTACAATTTGCATACTCCTAGGTTACATGTAAGTCTATTCAATTAAATATTTTTTGTATAGCGCCAATTCATAACAATAGTGATCTCAGGACACTTTTCAAATAGAGCAGGTCTAGACCGAACTCCTTATAACATTATTTACAGAGACCCAACAGTTCCCACCACGAGCAAGCACTTGGCGACGGCTGCAAGGAAAAACTTCCTTTTAAGAGGCAGAAACCTCGGACAGACCCCGGCTCTAGGTGGGTGGCCAGATTCAGCTGCTCAGTAGAGAAAGCATAAGTTATCAACATTCTTTGGTAATGTTATGTTATATAGAGCTAAAGGCCCCCAAATATATATATACATATATAAAATGTTATGTAATAAACCAGTAAGATGCAAATGGCAAGCCATTCAGTTTACCAGCCAGATCAGTCCAGATGAAGCTAGCTGACAGTAATTTGCCAGCTAGCAATTTGTACACTTTAGCAAGCAAGCTAATGTTAGCAAGCTAATATCACAACATGTTTCATTAGCTTTGCTGTAGCTTTGAGCTTAGACTTTGCGGTGGATTTCGGTCATTTGTTGATGTTTAGCGGACTCCATTTATAAGCAAAAACAGACATAAACATGAGCTATTGTTGTACACTGTACGCTGTAGTGAAGCGGAGAGAGAGGGCATAAACGTCACATCTTCAGGATTACATGACCCACATCCCAACATAGAAACGCATCAAAATCAGTCCACAGGCAACCAGTAGTCTCTCTCATCGTAGTAGTCTGTCCTATCATTAGTTTATGTTGGTGGAATTACTTTGAAATGAAAAGGACGTTATTTCAGATTTGTCCTTTGACCGAGCCCTTTTACAAATGTGATTGGTCTCATTGGCTTGTTAATGGCTCTTTTGATTGGGCTGGTTTCTGTGCATGAATGTGGTCCTTGTCTCTTCCCCATGTAGTGTTTTTCCCGTTCAGACTGTTATTATGCTCCTCTCCTCGCTCCTCTTTTCTCCTGCAGGCTGTTTTTCTGTTCTCCTTGTTTTGTGGTGTACGTCTGTATCATATGCTTCAAAAGCTATTGCACAGGCCCTGTATGTTTCTGTCGACCTTCATGGTTGATTACACGACCAAAATCAATTCTTTATTGCATTGTTTTTTAGTTTTCTAATACATGGACAGTTTATATGGTATTTGTCGATCAATTCACTGTATTGGTCTTGCTGTTGAGTGTGTGGACTGTGTTTGTTTATGCTGCCTATTTTCTCTGCACCTGCATTTATTATATTGTACATACTTTTCCTGAGTTATTATTAGCTGGACATCCGCTGCACTGTGTGTGTGTGTGTGTGTGTGTGTGTGTGTGTGTGTGTGTGTGTGTGTGTGTGTGTGTGTGTGTGTGTGTGTGTGTGTGTGTGTGTGGCCAGAAGTAATTTCCACAGGGCTACCCCGGTAAAAGAGCTGCCATCCATAATGCAGAGGAGGGAGAGTCAGGAGAGTACACTGTAGCTCCACACTTTGCTCCCAATTACAGAGCAGCAGCTTCATTTCCTCATTTTCTCCACAGACCTGTTGAAACTCCTCAGCTGCCTCTCTGATTACTAGCTGCAGCACAGAGAGAGAAAGATGCAGAGTTTATATATGTATAACCCTCTCTATATTTGTATAATGTGTGTATGTGTTGAATGAGTCTTTGTCCTCATTGCTTCACTGGTAAGACCTTTAGTAGCAGTCATAAGCAGCACAACAGCCAAGCTCTGGGATGTTTGTTTTTTCTCTGCCATGTGTGAAATATTCACACTGTCCTTTAATATTCAGCTCTCTATCTTGTGCATGTATTTGTAAAGATGAATGTGATGAGGGAAAACAAATCACAGGGTCTAACATTAGCAAGTTAAATTTTGCACTCCAGAAACAAATACCTCTCCCTTGTATGCCTTAGCTAATTAAACTTGGAAGACACAAACACACACACAACTTATTTAATTTTTATAATTTATAAAACCCTCAATCAAATAAGAATCTATTGACAATGCAATCTGCCTAAACAGAATAGTTGCATCAGTTTTTTTTTTTTTCTCGGTGTGAAGTCACGTAAAGTCAACTTTACATGGGTTTGTTTACACGAGAAGGGAGAAAAGAGCCCGACCAATATACCAATACCGATACCAATATTAGTCAATCGGTATTAGCATCAGCATTTATGTTATCCATTATGTGTCAATGTGAAAACAGTTTTTTTCTGGTATACAATGCAGAAAAAAATGTCCAGCAGATGGCACTGTGATTTACAACACTGTAACAACCAGCACAGAGTAAGAGAGCAGAAGTAGCTTTCAGCAGTGGCAGTCGTTGGTTGACTATGTAAATGTTAAACTACAATAAATTTGTATTGTACAATAAAGTTATTTGTTTAAGAAAACAGCCTTCTGAGTACCTTTGCATTTACATATTGTTGAACAGTCCACATAGAAAATATCTATTTTCATTCCAGCTCAGAAATCACTTTATCGGCTCTAAAATTGGTATTAGTATCGTCCTCAAAAATCCCATCTTGGTCGAGCACTAGAAAAGAGACAAGGCTTCAGCTCTTCATAAGCTCTGAAGGTGTCAACCTTCCCTATCTCTCTGAACTCGCTCAATAATTCATCTGAGTTATTTACGATCTGATTGATGTATTATCTCTTAATGCACATTAATAGCTCAGGAGGCATTACCATGCAGTCCTTTTGAAAGCTGTACAGTCTTGATATTAATTGAAGAACAATGTTTCAGGCGTGTAACACTGTTGACAGGTTCATATCTCAGTTCACTTATATATTTTGATCACAATAGATTATTTGCATGTCGTTAGGTATCACTAGGCCACAGTCTATCTAAGCGTGTCTGTTTGCAGTGACGGACCATGATTTTCTCACTCAGGATGATGTCATTACAGTGAGTCAGGGCCACTCCTTCAAAGTTGTTATTTGAACTAGGGTGTGGAGCGGCATTATTGTCGCTTTCCTGTGGATTGGACCAGTATGACCAGTTTGTGCACACACATCGGGAGGACTACGCAGTTTCCATTTGTTCAGTTCTTTGACTAATTTATGTTACAATTTAATCTTGATGTCAGTATGTTATTATTCAAAATCATATGACAAAAAGTCCTCCCATTGAATCAAAATCATTTTCAGAAATACACGTTCAAGCATTTTGGATGTATAGCAGAAATATTTTAGTTTTGCTTAATCAATTTAAAGTTATACACTATAATTGCCTCTTTTTTTTTAAAGACAAAGAACTTCATTTCGTACTGAAAAAATTAATCAACAACAATTCATTGTCAATTCATTGTTAAAATCTTTGGGTTTAGACAGCTGGTCAGACAAAACAAAAAATTTGAAGACAAAAGAACAATTAATAAGAAATCGACTGATTAATCAATAATGAAAATTGACGTTTGGTGTAGTCTTATTTTAAAAATAGAGCTTACAAGGTTTTGTACAACTGGAGAACATAATAGTTAACTCATTATTTATCTGTGGGCAGCCATTTTAATTCTGCTTTTTCTGCATCAACAGGTTTGAAGACCTCTGATCATATTGGCTCCACGGCCAATCAGGTGACAGCCAGGCTCACTGAGGAGGGAGACCAACAGTGAGACTGGAAGACCCCCGTACCGCACCCACACTGCTTCATCCATCCCCCTCCATCGTCACCGCCATGTCTATACCCAGTGGCAGCCCAGAAAGAGAGGGCTCTAGTGGGTCTCTCCCTCAGCTTGAATGCCCTTCTTCCCCTCCCGGGATGGATGCAGACCCCTCGTCAACGGGCAGCCCAGTGCTCAGCCCAGACTCATCTTCCCATGATGCAGTGATGTCAGCACCTGCAGCCTCCCCGGCAGACTCCGAGAACTTGAGTCCTGATGAACTGGAGCTGCTGGCCAAGCTGGAGGAGCAGAACAGGTGAGAGCTGTCCTCATTGTGTTTAACTACTGAGTGAAAACAAAGCAGTTATTAAACTTTTACTGAAACAGCTTCAACCAATTAATACTAAAGGAATAGGTGTATGAATTACATTTACCTATTGTGTGTATATAATCATGGATGTATGAAGGGAGAACTGGATACAGCACTGAAACATTACTTTTTTTTTTTGACAGACCAAACATTTTGTCTTTGATCTTTTATGTTAATCCTTAATATAATTGATGCAAATGTGTTTTACTTTTATGACTCTTTATCTCCTTTACATTCATGTTGTGAGTAACGGAGGACTTGAAATGTCTTACACTCAAAATCTCATTGGGGAGAGCCCCACAGCTTTGTTTGTGTCCCCTGGGTGTGCAGCTCGCACAGTGTCCCTTATTTTTCAACAATGAAGGTGGCAACCGTATGTGAACGTCAGTCTTGAGAAAGGAAATCACTGTGTTACCTCAACGTAGTTGTGGCCTGTAAGGTGAATTAGCAACTTAAAGTAGAAGAATAATTGATCAAAGATCCAACAATGGACCAGGAAAGACTGTCAATAGTTGATGTTGATGATGATGATGATTAAATAGAATCTCTTGATCAAACAAGAAAATAAACTCAAGAATATAGATGAAAGATCGGGCAAATGGGTCAAGTCAAAAGTGTACTTACAGTTTGACGTTAAGAAGAAACATGGAATGAAAGTAGCGTTAAAACAGCAACCAGGCCTAATTAATGAGATGGTCTAATGTGGGAGATAATTAGTACTTCATGAGAGGAGATAATAAATATGATATCTGGCCCGTTTTTAAAAGTGACAATAGTAGTGGAGGTTATTATCAGCAAACTAGATAGCTGTTCATCATCCTGAAATTTTACCCACAACATCAAAGTGTGTGCTCCCATACAAAGAACATTTCTTACATTAAACGCCAAATATTGTGCGAGGCTACTTAGGATTAGCAACCACTGATATTACAGTCAATAAAAATCAACAGAATATTGCCCAGAAGTATGTTAAGCAGAAGAAGAAAGTCTGTCCTTCACAGCCCATCTGAGAGCTTTTAAATATCCCTGAATTTCAACAGCACATGAAAATATAAGAAATAGCTGTATATTTGTGAGGCTTAACGGAATACTTGAACCTTAGTCTAGCTTTTAAATCAGAGAAGATTGAAGTGTATTTAGCTCCATGACAACAACGTAAGCACATAGACAGATAGCAGTAGGGCTGTAACGGTTCTGAAACCGAGACCGAAATCGCAACACAATAGTCCAAGGTCTCGTGTCGCAGATCCGAGAGACAGAACCGCGATACACTCGCTCCCTGGACTTTTGAGCTCTCGTTAAGACAGTGTAACTGCAGCGGTGGCGGCGGCCCGTGGGGTGGTACCGGTGTACGCCTGTATCGTATTTGTATTGACAGTAGGTTATTCTAGGTCATTTTCCACCTTATTTTAATGTTTATTTACTACTTTAATCTGCTCCCTTTCTCTTCTCCCCACACTTACACACAGCACACACACCTAGCCTGGACCTCTGGTCACTCACGGCAAACACGCCCAGTTGCTCCGCCTCTTTCTGTCTCTCTCTCCCTGTGTGTGTCTCTGCTGACTTTCTCCATCAGCAGTACATTTCATAAACTCACCCGTGATTCAGTTTTCAAGTGCACCGCATGTGGGTCCAAACCAAAACTAACGTTAGTGAGTGACATCTGCAGTGGTGCGTTCGCTGACGCTCCGTAATGTAAGATTTCTGCCGTGTCCGCTTAATGTAATATCAGATAACTAATAAAACGGGCAAAACCGTGGTATGAACCGAACCGTGGCTCAAAAATCGATGTCTGAACCGAACCATGGATTTGGTGAATCGTTACACCCCTAGATAGCAGAGAAGTGAATTATGCAACACAGTAAGAAGTGGACATTTTCTACCTAAACATCATGAATCCAAGCAGACTGTAGCCACTATGCTCCATTAAACAATCAAACTTAATGTTTTAGAGTCACCTTTCAAGTCCACAGGGAGTGAGAGTTTCCTACCTAGATAATAGTTGTAAGGCTGTGGTCAGTGACCTCTGGAGAAATAGAATAGTTATATATTCTGCAGAGTTTAGACACAGACCCCTTTGGACTTGAACATTGTCATTGTTCAAGGTGTGTATGCAGCAAGTCCAGTGCAAAGGGATTTGTGTAAAATGTCAGTTTGACCTAGAATCACAAATCTGCATGCCCTACATCCGCAAGAAATACACTAGGTAACAAAAAATGGGTATGTAGGTTAGTGTTTTAGAAAACACTGAATACATAGGCACTATATCCGTAATTGTCTTTTTAAAACTCTACTTTTTAGAACACATTTTGAAGAATATAAAGTCACCCCACAATACCGGAGATATGGAAGAGGAGAAATGAAGAAGCTTTAATCTGTTTCTAATTGCAGATAATAACAATCAACAGTACGAAGATTTTCCTTTCTCTCAGAGTGATATCTGAAATGACCTGAATGACTTTCTGTCGTCAGTTCCTGATGCCTGTCTCTCCATCAGAGGAACGCCTCAGTCACTAAACCAGATAACCTTTAATTCTTACATGTACCCTGAATGCTACTGTATGTTCTTTCAGAAAGCTTATTATTATTATTATTTATTATTATTTATTATTTTTCACAGTCATGTTTTGGTAAGTCACTTTTCCATTCAAGGGGTGGGGTTTCATCCCTGTGTTAGGTAAGGGTTTAATCCCACACAACAAAGAGCACCAGATACTGTCTGTTCACATGTTTGTACCACTACAGAAAAATAGATGTTGTTGTAATTAGACTTTAATAACACCCGCAGGGACTCACATGTGCTGTGATATTTTTAAGTGCAAGGAGCCACATACTGTACAATTCTTCCTCCAGCCATCACATGTTTCAGCAGAGGGGTCAAAGTGCAGGACGTGGAGTCAAGTGACTTAAAAGAATAAGACATTTAGACTCGAAGTGGGACTGAACCTAACACCCTCAGGATAAAGAGCAGTCTCTTTAATCACATCATCTCTGCTTCCTGCTATCCTGCTGCACAAGACTCAAAAGAATGCAAGGCTAAAAAAAACATTTAAAGGAATAGTTTAGCAGTTTGGGAAATATGTTCATTGAGAAGATTGACACCACTCACATATCGTATGTGACATATAAAGTAACAGCCAGCAGCTGGTTAGCTTATCTTAGCATTAGCCTTAAGCATTAAGCCTGGAGCAAGAGACAGAGAAAAACAAAAAATCTGTCTAAAAGTAACAAAAGATGCAATAACGACAAGTTGTGATTTTACAAGAGGTTCTGTGTTGGAATATTTCTTCACCGGAAGTAGTGACTTACTGGCTAATCTAACCTAGCTGCTGGGTGCAGGATCATATTTAAAGAGCAGAAATCAGAATCGCAATCATAATGAGAGTGGTATCAATCTTCTCATCTTACTCTCAGCAAAAAAATCTAATTCCCTATTCTTTTAACTCATGATTGTTTGTGAGAAATACAGACTTTCTGACACACCTTGACCTCAGAGTCCAGGCTAGTAAGCTCCTCTAATAAATTTGCTCTTCTGACTTTTGACTTTGACTCTTATATGTTATGGTTATATGGTTATATGAGCAGCAGTCAATCAATGTGTCTAACAGAACGAACAGAAAATGTGCACAGTCATGTAGACAGTGATAAACTGTTGGAAATGTAACCCACAGAAACTCCTCATTTACAATATGGACTTATTGTACTGGATGTAGATTAAAGTATTACTGCAGAGACATGGCCTATTTTCTGCAATATTTTGAAAGAAAAAATGTCAACTGAGATATCATCAAAAAAAAACACAGCATCATATTTACAATACCTTTTTGTTTATATTGTTTACACTTCTTCAGTACCCAACTCTAGGATTTCTATACCCTGAAAGGCAGCATATTCATTTAATAGACTTGAGATAGATTAGTAGCGTAATACATGTATTGTTGCTTTCTTGTCTATTTAATGTTCACAGCCAGCTGTGTGTGTATCCTCATGGGTCAGTCTCTGATTCTGTAGTTTAAGGGAACAAGCTCTGAGGCTTCTAGTGCCTCAGCAAGGTTGTCCACAAACTGTACTGATCCTCGCAATGTCACAGTCTGCCTCAATGTCATATATGCCTGCCACGACTCCTATTGCTCATCTTAGCTCTTCAGTCTGTGTACCATCTTGTATGAGACAAACATGCCGTGCCTTGTAATAATGTGCCGTTTCCATCAGAAATAATCAGTTGTAATTTGAGCTTCCTGTCCTCATAAACTGTTTCTTCATGCAGGTTGCTGGAGGCTGACTCTAAGTCCATGCGCTCAATGAGCGGTTCACGGCGTAACAGCGGCTCCTCACTGGTGTCCAGCTCTTCAGCCTCCTCCAACCTGTCACACCTGGAGGAGGATACCTGGATCCTGTGGGGACGCATCGTCAATGAGTGGGAGGAGTGGAGACGCAAGAAGGACAAACTCCTGAAGGTGGGGATCAGGGACTGGAGATGGAAAGATTTTGTTGTCACATGTAGCGTTTTCCTCAGCATGAGTCATTGAGAGCAATTAAAAATGAGAACATCAGTAAGAAGATTATCAGCCTCCTCATTTTATTTATACATCTTGTTGGTCAGGTTTCATAGGAAGTTTACTGGATCAGAAAAAAACATAAAGAAGACTGTAAATCCCTGACTCATTGCACATTTTATGCAGAGGCTTGTTGGACATCTATATCCACACACAGACTTTGTCACTGGTTTTTATTCATAAGGTTAGGGTTGTGTGTGTGTGTCAGAAACATGTAGCTCAGTGTTGTCTGAGACCCTAGGCTTTATTTTTACTGACGACAGCTAAACTGAATCTGTTGCCATGTATGAATACTGTTGTTCTTATATGATTACACCAACACCTTTAAGTTGCACTGCACCAATACGCCTCTCTCTTCATCCTCTTGTCTCTCCTCCTTTCCTCTTTGTGTCTCTCTGTGTCCTCTGTGACAAAAAGAGAAAACCCAGGGGAAGAGAAGATGGATGAGGGGACGGGACAGCAAAATGCAAAAGTCAGGGCAAAATGGGAGAGCAGACAAACCAAGCAACATGATACTAGCTGCCTGAAAACTCTACAGGCGCAAACAAATTTGACATAGAGGAATGAAAAGGAGGAGTTGGTGAAGAATTGTTGTGAAGCGTGATACATCATAATGTACTGAGTGGCTGTAATTATGAAATGATACTAAATTGTCCTTGTAGATATATCTATTCATCACTCCATAATTGATTCCTCCTCTCATCTGCCTACTCGTTGCTCTTCAAGAGATGCTTAAAATTGCATCCCTCACCACAAGGAACGAGGTATTAATCCTCTTTAATGTCTCGGTCTCTCTCTATCTCTTTGCCCTCCAGGAGTTGATCAGAAAGGGCATCCCTCATCATTTCCGGGCCATCGTCTGGCAGCTGCTGGGCAACGCCACGGACATGCCAGTGAAGAACCAGTACTCTGAGCTACTGAAGATGTCGTCCCCCTGTGAGAAGCTCATCCGCAGAGACATCGCCCGCACCTACCCCGAGCACGAGTTCTTCAAAGGCCAGGACAGCCTGGGGCAGGAAGTGCTCTTCAATGTCATGAAGGTGAGTGCCGCAGCATTTCACATTACTTCTTAGATCTAAACTCCTCAGTCTTTATATTTAGCATCCATGAAAGTGTGAGACTTGTGTCTTTTGGAATACGTTTCTGTGTTTGCACAAGCATGTGTTTGACCGTGGGTACAGTGTTTTAAATGAAGTTATATAGTCATTCATGCTGTGAGTAACTTGGTAATGTTTAGGTAGTCTCAAATCAGGTAGTTCTGCTCCTCTGGTACAACAAACAATAAAAGCAAGCCATCAAAACAATAAAACTAGACAGACAAAAAACAATAAAATCTTTGATTTAAAAGAACATTAATTAAAAGCAACAGTGAACAGGTAGGTCTTTAGCTTGGATTTGAAAGTAGACGACATTTTTTCTGCTTAGTTATTCTGGCAATTTGTTCCATATTAGAGCAGTATAGAAAATAAAGGCTGCTTTTCCTTGCTTAGTTTTGACCCTGGAAACAGCCAGTAATCCAAAAGTGCCATTTTCTATGTGTAATTCACTTTTCCATTTCGCATGTTGGCGAGAGTTACCTTCAGATCTAATTTTGTTTATGAAACAAAATATGTAGAGAAACAAGGAAATTGGTTGGAGAGGTTGTTCACAGCCATGGAAACAAGCCTGTTGACCATCTACATGTCAGTCGAGTTCTCTGATACCTGCGCAGGAAATTAATGGACCTCTGATGACTTGTTGATCCTGTTGCTTACAGTCTGGATGTTCAGTCAGGATTACAGTCTGTGCTGCTTTCTATAAATCCAGCACATAGCGAATGTAATGTGTGTGTGTGTGTGTGTGTGTGTGTGTGTGTGTGTGTGTGTGTGTGTGTGTGTGTGTGTGTGTGTGTTTTTCAGGCATACTCCCTGGTGGACCGAGAGGTGGGCTACTGCCAAGGCAGCGCATTCATTGTTGGTCTGCTGCTTATGCAGGTAATGATCAAGTATTTCAGGAAAATGATCCATAAATGATCCATAATAAGCATATTTTTCTGAAGGCACAGCACAGTATGTCAGAGCTTCCTTTAATCAGTCCCACTAGATTTCTCTGATTATTGCAACCAAAAACAGTTGATTATGTGGCAGGTTTATGAAAAATTGCACGGCAATTAAGTTGTCTCTAGAGGTTATCGGTGAAATATGGGAGTCACATGTGCTATGTCTAATTTATACCTAATGAGGGAACTTTACTCACCCCTCTCCCCTCCTCCCAGATGCCAGAGGAGGAGGCGTTTTGTGTTTTTGTGCGACTGATGCAGGAGTACCGCCTGAGGGAGCTGTTCAAACCCAGCATGGCCGAGCTGGGCCTCTGCATCTACCAGTTTGAGTATCTGCTGCAGGTAAAGAGGAAGCAAGAGAGTCTATAAACAAACATGAGGCCTGCAGTGTAACACTCAGCCACAAAGGGGCAGCAAATCATTTATTTATATCTCCAGCACGTCATTTTCTCTTTGTGTGTCCCATTGATTATATTTTATATTCTTCCTCTTTTTTTTTATCTTAGGAGCAACTTCCAGAGCTGAACGTCCATTTCCGATCCCAGAGTTTCCACACATCCATGTATGCTTCATCCTGGTTCCTCACTCTTTTCCTCACCTTCCTCCCTCTGCCTGTTGCCACACGCATCTTTGATATTTTCATGTATGAGGTAGGGAACATTCTGAGTGTGTGTTGTAAGTATCTGGAGATGTATTTGATGTGTTTGACTGTGTGTATTCAGAAGTTATAATAAAATCTATGACCTGATTGTAGGGCCTAGAGATTATCTTCCGTGTGGGTCTGGCCATCCTGCAGTACAACCAGACTGACCTCATTCAGCTGGACATGGAGGGCATGTCGCAGGTAAGCAGCTGCAGCTTTGTGCCACTGGCTGCAGAAATTAATTTCATGTATAGATTCAGCACCGAGTCAAATGCTCTACGTCCCACTTTCCCACCAGCTTCCTGAATGACACATCTGAACGACAGACCTGCTTCACTCAGTCACATTAACTCAAAACAGAAACAGACACCAGGGCTCATTCAGTGATATGTGATACTGTTTACAGTAATGCAGGAGAGAATTAACTCATTTGTTGCTCCTTAGTAAAAACACACCAACTGATCTCTGTGTCTGATCTCGAGACAAAATCCAAGGATAGAATCAAAGGTTATGCTTTGTTAGGTTTTCAGGCTGTTGTATTTCTTTCGCTTATACACCCCTAATACCATTTTCCCTTTTCTTTTCATTTTTTTTGTGGTTATGTGCAGTATACTCATAAATACGGCAGCAGCTAGCCATAAATGTTTGATTATCAATTATTCGCCTAATTATTCAACCATTTTGACAATAAAATGTCAGAATAAACTGAAAAATGTATATAATGAAAAAGCTGGGAATTTGGCTTTTTTTTAAATATACCTGTATAAACTTTATTTTCTGTTAATCACAGTACTTCAGAACTATTGTAGTTCCAAAAATACAGCAGCTGCTGGCTCGCCACAAGTCCAGCGTTTGGTTTTTGCCGCTCTTCTTCGTGCCTGCTTCTTCATAAAATATGAATGAGCACCTTTGTCTGTCTTCAGCTCTCTAATCTTGTGTTTCCCTCTGGCTCTGCCAGCATTTCCAGAAGGTGATCCCCCACCAGTTTGACAGCTGCCCAGACAAGCTGATCCTCAGGGCCTACCAAGTTAAATACAACCCCAAGAGGATGAAGAAGTAAGAGCACTCATCACTCAACTAATGACTAGTGAGGCTCAGGCTGGTTTGGCATCATGTAGCCCAGTAGGATTTGTATTTCTGTCTGTCTACTAATGATCCATTGATCTTTGCTTTTTAAGCATTATGATTAAAATTATACCACCAATCAGTGAAGCACCAAGTGAAGTTAAAAATAATAACATTGCATAATCCTGTGTTTTTGTTTATTTTTTACAGGCTTGAGAAAGAATATACCACGATCAAGAACAAAGAAATGGAGGAACAAATTGAGATCAAGGTGTGTGTGTGTGTGTGTGTGTGTGTGTGTGTGTGTGTGTGTGTGTGTGTGTGTGTGTGTGTGTGTGTGTGTGTGTGTATTTATGTATTTGTTCACAATGTGGATATCCCAATGAATGGGTCATGTAACTGTACCTCTCTCCCGTCTCTCTCTCTCTTTGTTCAGAGGTTACGCACAGAAAACAGGCTGCTGAAGCAGAGGATTGAGACACTGGAGAAGGTAAGAGATGGGCTTTGATTCCAGCTGATCTAAATGCTAAAATATATCAGGTTTGCGCAGCATCATTGAGACGAAACACCCAGATTGCTCAGCAGAGGACTCTTCGCGTTCTGATACGCAAACACTGTAATGCTGTTTGTAAGCTCTGTTGGTTTTCTTCTCCTGATGAGCTTTTTGTTGCAGTCTTGGTGTGTTTTTGTGTGTGTGGATGCTTGCAATCGGTCCTTACATTCCCTTCCCCTGCAGCACTCTATTGTGAAGAGACGCTGCAGTTTCTAATCTTCTCTTCCCCTCTGAAATACTTTTTTCTGAGTAATCTCTCCACTGTCTCTTTTTTCTTCATAAACATCTTTATATTTGTTTCAAATGATTGGCTTCTGAACCTATAATCTTTTCTTTTCCTTGATTTTCTCTTGGGTTTTGTTGTGGTTTATCCTCCCCGGTGTCCCACTGCCTTTCACTTTTTCTTCTTATCTTTGTTTCATCCTCTTGTTGCTCTCCTTCGCTGCGTTGTAGGAGAGTGCTGCTCTGGCAGACAGACTGATACAGGTAGAGTACTGTAAACCACTTTCCCACTCACACCTCCTTCCTCTTCCTCTTTCTGCTGTCCTGCACTGCTTCTCTCCCTCTTTTTAAAAGTACCCAGACAAGTGCATGAAGGAATATTTTTTTGTTGTATGTCTGTTCAGTCCACAAGACCGTCCTGTAATCTCTGAATGCATGTACTGTTTATCCATGAGAGAGGTTGTGCATTCCCTGCATGTGGCATATAAAGGTTTCTTATTGTCCATACTATTACAAACTTCAATTATGAATATACAGAGTTTACCAAAATGTGAATAAAATATCCTATATAGCTGACAACAAGCTTATTTGCTTTCTTCCGGAGAATTAGATGAGAGAGCTCTCATGTCTGTAAATATGAAGCTACAACCAACGTATTAATTAGTGAGCCTTAGAGATGCTAAGCTTAGCATCTCTAAAGCTCACTAATTAATACGTTACATACTGTTTGTTTAATGGGGGGTTATTTGCCAGAACATGTTTTGGCTGGCAGACTTGCTGTTTTTAGCTTTTAGATAGTAATGTGTTAATTAGTGAGCATTAGAGGTGATCTGGTAGGCAGGTATTTTTGCTAAGCTATGCTAACCAGCTGCTGGCTGTAGATTTTGTATTTTAGTTATTGACAGGTATGAGAGTGGTATTGGTCTTCTTGGCTAGCTCTCTGCAAGAAAGCAAATAAGCTTATTTCACAAAATGTCAAGCTATTCCTTTTAGGCTAAAATAATCTGCTATGCACCATGTTGCAAAGTTCCCCTTAAGCATAATAATGTTGCATTCCCCGTATGCCCAGAATTAACCGTCTCCCTACATCGGTATATAATATGCAACTCCAAAGCTGATCTGACCTGCTGTTCCAGGGTCAGGTGACGAGGGCGCAGGAAGCAGAGGAGAACTATGTGATCAAGCGGGAGCTGGCAGTGGTGAGGCAGCAGTGCAACACGGTCAACGAGAGCCTCGAGAAAGCACAAGACACCATCAGAGAGCTGCAGCAACAGAAGGTAAACACCAACCCACAGTCTGTGCACAAACACTGTGGTGGCAACAGAAACAAATGTTCCAACACAGAAGACGACGGCAGGCGTAATGTCATTTACCCTCACATATGCTGAATAAGGGATTTATGTCGGAACATTTTCTCTCGAGCATTTGTCTGTTTAATATTTTATTAGGTGATGGTTCATCAAGGGTCAAATCAGATGTCAAAATCAGGGCTGCTTTTTTATGATTTTGATTCACGAATCCGTTGATGCCGGGTTGTAGGAGTGAAAGTGTTAGTGAAAACCATTCACTAACCCCATTTTCCAGTTCTGCTTTTAAAGGACTAATTCAACTCTTTGGGAAACCAGCCTACCAGCACCCTCTTAAAGCTCACTCATTAACGCATTGTTAATATGAAACTTGTACAACTTGGTGTAAACAAATAGACAGTTCCCAGCAAGCTGTTGCTCCCTGCTTCCAGTCTTTATGCTAAGATAAGCTAACCATCTGTTTGTATTTGACAAACAGACATGGGAATGGTGTCAGTCTTCTCAAAAAAGCAAATAAGTGTATTTTCCGTAATAACAATAACTTAAACAACAAACATAATATTGACAAATGATCTGCACATTATCCCAAGAATGTTCTGACTTTTCTGAAAATGTCAAGTAATCTTACAACCTATAGTCTCAGATCAGATTTAGCAGCAGTGTTTGACTTGAATGAACTAATTGCAACACTTCAGGGGAAATTTCTTGAAGTTCAAATGTATGCAACACAAGCCACCAAAACATAAGAGCCGTTTCACAACCCAGCTACAAGGAAGGTGTGTTTGTCCTTATAACACCAGATACAAATTCCTCTTCTATTATAAGTTTGTTGCTTCTTAAAACCATAAGACAAGGTGTATACATTGACCTTAAAGAGGCCAGAGGCTGTAAAGTTTTCTTGTAAACAAAGTTTCTGTTTACATTAAGTGTTATTCACCAAAATGTATCAGTGCGTCCTTGAGGTTTAACAAACATGATGACTGCATTTCCTTCCACATTTTGTCTTAAAAGCTTGAAACCTGCTTTGTTTAATTACATCCATGTTTGCCAGACAGTATTCTTCTTTTTCCCTGCCTTTTTGGGGCATTGCTGAATATCATGGTGCATCATTGCCACCATTGTTTCACAATGCTTCAACCATGTACATCACATCACCAGCATGAAATCAACAAAATAAGGACCCACCCATAAAAAAATGTTCTAGAGGTCAAAAACTCCACAGGAACCTTTTTAATGTATCTTAAATGTTTACATTTTCTGTTTCATATTATCTCTGTATTATATTGAAATATTCCTATAGTAACTGATGTGTAAGCTCACCTCGTTTATCTTCTTGCATTTAATATTGGCAACTTCAGCATCTGTCAAACAACCACAATGCCAGTGGCATATTCAAACACACCCTTGGCACACCCAGAGCGACAGCACAAAACTAACGGGACATTTTTTTCACACAATCGGCTCTTGGTTATTATTTATCAATTTAATCCAACTAGAAGCATCTGACTTAATTGACTGAGTTTGGTTCCAATCTCTTCTTTCTTGCATTTAAATGTGTGTTTCTTTTGATAACAAAGAAGCCACTCACACTGTCATTTTTCCGTTTGAAGCTTGAAAGGAAATGACTAATTTACTCATGAAGCTCAGCAACCAAGACTACCACAGTGCAGTCTGTTAGTGTTTGGACAGTTTTATTTTATCTCTGGACTCAAACACACTACATTTAAAATAAAGCAACTATTAGGTCAAAGTGCTTACTCTCTAGTTCTAAGATAGTAGATTTGACTTTATCAAATAGTTTTTGAGGGTACATTTATTCAAGTACTGCACTTAAATACAAGTTTGAGTTACTTTTTACTTCTACTCGGCGTTAATTCAGAGCAAAATAATGTACTTTTTACTCCACTACAATTATTTGAGTTGGAGTTACGAATTACTTTACAAACTATTCAAAACATATAATACATTTGTAAAACATGATGCATTTTTATTGGTTTAACTACCCAACAGTATTTAATGTAATTAATAGCTCTAACTCGAACAACTACGACAGTAAAATAGTACAGCAGTAATGATCTAATATGATAATGATTTTTATGCATTGAGTACTTTTATTTTTGATGTTTCAAGTACATTTTGTGAAAAATACTTGCGACGCAATGCAGGACTTTTACTTGTACAACTTGTTTATGTTGTAGTATTGTTACTTTTACTTAAGATCTCCATCACTGGAGTTTGAAACAGTTTTATATGCCTGTATATGATTTGTGGTGCTACTATATATGATGCTATCGGCGAACAAATTAATTAGAAATTTCAGACCACACCTTTTCTAATGTGTGCAGAGCACAAAGTTATTTTTCTACATACACGAGCGGCTGTTTGTAATGAATAAGTCAGTGATAAAGTTTGATGTTGCCTGTCCCATTTGTCCAACTTCAGCTTCGCTAACAGACAAAAACAAAAGGATTAATACTTAAAACTGTCTTCAGCAGATCACCATCAAAGAGTAAGCAAAAGTGTGAATGTTAATCAAGGAAATGTTACTTTAAATAGAAAAAAATCCAAGCCAATGATTCATTATTTCATGTGCACACTCTAAATGATGTCATTGTGATGGGTGATCCAGCTCAGATTGCTGGCACCCATCAACCCACCAGAGTTCACACACCTACAGACACTCACAGTCCTCTTTGATAACCAAGACTGAGAAGCCTGAAATGACAAACCGAGACTCCTTTATGCACGCTATGTACTTGCCCAATTTCAAGCTTTTTTATTTTGCGACGTAGGAAAAGTACTTTTCCACTCAGCCCTCTGTGCATTACTGCTGCTCTCACAACCCTTTAACTTTGTAAGTTCGCTTTGATGTGGTGACAGGTACAAGTACAGTAGCTTTCTATTTTCTGACATCACTCTGAGTCAGTGGGGTAGGAGGGACATTTGATACCAACTTTTGAGCTATTTTGAAGTAGATTTAGTACTGGGGACATAAAAATCAGGCCATGAACCGTAATCATTTTGTTGCCACATAAAGACCAGCTGCAGATGATCATGTGGGTTAGTGGCATGTTGGCATATTAATGCTTTTGATTTATTTGCCTTCCCCAAAGGTAGAGTGCAGAAAACCTTTTCTGTTCCTTGATAAAAATGATACTCCTAACTAACTCTGGACAAGGATTGGCAAGCATTAGCTGTGTGAATAGACAGTTTGCTGTTAGATTTCTCAACAGAAGAAGAAACCGAAAGAGAAAGAGAAAGAGATTTAACGGCAGCTCGTAACAAAATTCACACCAATTCAGACTCTGTGGTAATCCCAGCTGAACTGAACTCCTGGTCATGATTAATTTTCCACTGTATGGTACAGCTCGGCTCAACTCAACTTTACTCTTTCTGTGGTCAGACGGAGTCGTCTCTAGAATGGTAACTTGCTCGACACAGGATATCCTCAACAAACCTGGCATTTTTAACCAAGCTACCATAGCGATTGCAATTCTTTTTATTCACTCAAAAATGACAGGCCCACAAAACCACTCCATCGTCAATTATGAAGTGCAGACGAATCGAGAACACCATCAAGAGTAGCACATCTCATATTTGTGTACGTGTGCGTGGTGAATGTGAGCAGAGTCGAGAAAAAGGCGAGCAGTGAAGGTGTCAATCTGGCAGTAACTGTACAGTGTAGGTTAGAGTTTGTCAGTGAATAAAAGCTGCAGCTTCTCAAGACCAAAGTAAAGCGCCTGTGTGTTGTTTCCCTACTGCTGTAATAGTGTAGCTATGTCGTCTCTGCCTGTGTTGAGGGGGTATCAGTGAAAATGAAGTACCAAAACGAGTAGCTTAGAGTCAAGGTGATCCATACAATGCAGTGGAAACACGGCTAAAATCCATCATCAACACTAGTCTGCATGTGACAATGAAATGAAAACCTTTCACTTGGCCCAAGTAAGCTCATAACACAAGCTCAAGAAAGCTGATCAACCAGTGATCAAAGTTGGTATCAAGCCCCACTGCTCTGTTATACAATATAACTGTGTAACACCAGTGATGTTTGTTTCAGTACACAGAACAGTTTGTGAGCAATCTGCAGACCCAGCTGGAGCAGTCCAGACTGCGCGAGGCTGAACTGCTGGGAGCGCTGAAGGAAATGCAAGACAAGGTCCTCGACCTGGAGAAGGTGGGCTAACAGACGCACATTTTAGCGTGTGAGAGAGAACAGAGTGGGAAATATGAGCAGAGACAGCAGGCGTGTGATAAATGTGTCAAAGATGATCTGTTTACTGGTAATTTATTCTAATGGTGAAAGAGGTATATTTGAGGTTTCAAGCTTTCGGTTTTACTTCCTGAGGTGTTGAGACACAACAGCTTCACCGTGCTGATTAATTTACTGTAACGTAAAACTGAAAGCTAAAAAAAATTTTTTTGTTTGCTGTTACAATTTGTTAATATTCCAGAAACTGTCAGTCTGTTGGTTGGTCAGTCCACCAAGACTGACCATAGATGTGATGTAAGTCACCATATCACATACTTCATTAGACTACATCCAGAAGATGTTAATACTTAAAATAAAATAATATCGTTTTTTTTTATCAGTGACCTTCTGAATAAACACATTGTTTTTGTCTTGGAGCTGATAATGGAAGTATAAGTACAAGTGAGATATCTTGTTTACTTATCAACTCTGTCTGAGAGTTGCTCTGGCGTGATACTGATTGGGCAGAACGTACGGCTCTAACAGCAACAGCTATTTACAGCCTCACATAGCTGCTAGCATGGCTGCAGACTAGTTAGTTAGTATTTCTAAAGTGTAAACATGACGTTTGTCCATCCAGAGGAGCAGCTGCCTGCCTGATGAGAACAACATGGTGGCTCTGAAGGAGGAGGTGAAGCAGATGAAGCTGAGGGAGCTGGAAACACTTCGCTCATTCAGAGAGATGCAAGACACTGTCACTGAGCTCAACCAACGCTGGCAGGTAACACACACAGACTGCTGCTGTTTCTCTATAAACTACCTGTGTGTGCATGTTCATGAGACCCATCTGTGCAGCCACACCTATGCACTCTGTGTTTCTGCAGCATCACATGTCCCGTGGCAGCAGCACGGGTGGCGGGGGTGGCCACTGGAAGGAATCCCCCAAGAAGAACGCCATGAACGAGCTGCAGGACAAGCTGATGACGGTCAGACTGAGGGAGGCCCAGGCTCAGGCTGAGCTCAGAGAGGTCAAACTTAAAGCCCTGCAGCTGGAGAGCCAGGTCAGACATACTGTACACACACTGATCATAGCGGGTATACAAACATGCAAGTCCTTTTCTTATATACACACATATGGAGGTCAGTTTAGTTTTATTCAAAGCATTTCATAGGAACAATGATAATTAGGTAATCACTGTGCTGTCACAGGATAATGCAGCAAACTATATAACTAAATGTAAATAAAAACAGCCATAATCGTGCTTGACTCTATGGGGATTGTGGGAGTTTTTAACTATGATTGTACATGTCATAGACTAAATTATTAATTAATGGGTCATACTCACCTTCTCACATTTGACTTTACTCCAGAACCAGATCCACAGCAAGCTAATCGGTCGCAACGAGCAGGAACGCTCCGCCCTGCAGGACCGGCTCCAGATGCTGGCCAATCAGAATAAAGCTCTCCAGGCCCAACTCAATGAAATGAAAAGGAAGCAGGCAGAGTCTGACTGCAAGGTCTGGATGGAGAGGAGACATAAAAAGAAATTGAGTTAGCGAGAGGGGAGGGAAGGGATGAAAGGGAGAAAAGGCTGATTGATGGGAAGAACAACGTCCAGCTTAATGAAACGTACAGTAATGAGACACTAATAACTGGATGGAAAGACAACGAGGAATGATGACAAAATAGGGATGAAGAGGATAAAAAGACAGAGGGAATAAAAAAAAGAAGAGTACCAGATAGATGTAGTGGGATAGAAATAGAAAATGATGAGAAATGTGCAGAGTCTAGTCTGTAAAATCTGGGATTCATGTCCAGAAAAGAAGGGCCGATGCACTGAAGGAGGACAGAGTGGGATGTAGATGGAGGGACTGAGGCAGTTAATGATGCATCATCAATATCCATCACTGAAACCCAGTTTATCACTGTCATCCACTGTGTTCAGTTATTAAGCAGGAAATGTCTTCTTTCTTTCAACTCCCTCTCCCTGTCCCATCATACATGTAGAGTAAAGAGGAGGTGATGGCCGTGCGACTGAGGGAAGCAGACAGTATGGCTGCTGTGGCTGAACTCAGGCAGAAGATAGCTGAACTCGAGATCCAGGTGTGTGTTTACGTTCCTCTGTGTCCGTTTGGATTGTACGTACATACAATGTCTCAATGTAGGTGTTGTTGTCTGTATAAAGATGATTAATTTAATTTAAACAGTAGCAATAAAGATACTGTGGCCTTTCAGAAGGAGGCAGGGCTGATCCAGGGCCAGCTGAACCACTCAGACTCCAGACAGTACATCAACCAACTCCGGGACCAGATTGCTGAGCTCAAGAATGAGGTTGGACACACACACACACACACACACACACACACACACACACACACACACACACACATACAACCACAGACTGCACCATTTATTGCAGGGGTACCCCGGCTCTTTCCCTTGAAGGGCCAAAACTGAAACTGAATTGTGGGCCACGGGCCAAAAGGAAATGCCTGCTGTATTGTTTAGATGGTAGTAGGTAGTTGGTAGTTAGATTATAAATAATAATTAGGATCCTACATATTTAAAGCATTTTACCCCACAAAACAGCATAAACAGTGATTTCTACTAAATAGTTTTTGAAGTTTTTTTTTTCTCCAGAAACATCTGGCGGGCCGAATCAAACTTGTATTGTATTTCACAATAAATGTAGCACAATAAACCTGTGCCACATGTAGCATTTCAAAGATCAATATTACATCCAAATGAACTGCAATACTCTTGGTAGCATCAACTTTACTGCTGTAACACAGGAAGCAGTCATATGACTTCTGAAATCACTGTGTCCATTTGTTTTATTTACTGCAGACAAAATGAACGTCAGCTGTGTTTTCTCACTGCTCCACCGAGAAATAGTTATTTATTTAAGAAACTTATTAGTTGATCAGCAAAAAACTCATCTGCAACTATTCTGATAATGGATTAGCAGTCTTAAATCAGTAAAAAGGTCAGATCTTCTCCAATTCCAGCTTCTCGGTTGTGAGTATTTGCCATTTATTTAGTTTCATATCTTTGTGAGTTGAATGTGTAATACTGCTGGTTGGATAAAACAAGTAATTTTAACCTTTTTAGGTCAAAAAGGAAATAATTCATCCAAAATTGCAACCCTAGTTCCCCTAGTTCCTAGTCTGAAATGTTACGCCATGTTTACTTCTGAACAACAATGAATGTAATGTTTTGTAGCCTTATAATCAAACTGAATAATGTTTCACTTCATTCATGTTAGCTGTTTACTTGTTGGGAAGCATGCCGTTTTGTTTTGTTTTGTAAAATGATTAGATGGATAAATGATTAGAAATATGTAAATGTAAGAGATGTTATGTCGACAACCTTTACAGCAGTGTAAATCCCCTCCACACGTCACCATTTTTCTGTGACTGTTTAGCTATGAATATGACATCCCATTCATTATCCCAGCTACTCTTATTATCCAGCTGGTGGAAGCAGCCATTAACAGACACAACACCAACTATTTGAATCTTCTTTTTGACACCTTTCAGCTTGCAGAGATTCAGAGGTCTGGAACCAGACCTTTGTGCCATAAAGCATTGCCAGACTCTTGCCCGTAAGAGATAATGTAAAATAAAAATGACTGTTCACTTCGTTGAGTGATGACTTCAGCTTCAGCTTCAAAATGGCGTACAGATGTATACACAGTGTGTGTATGCCGTAGATGCATGATGATAGACATCATGCAGCTTTGCTAACCACCACAGAAGAAACTTGTCATCTACATGCAGCCAGACACCACTTCCACCCAGACACACTGCTCTTCCCCAATAACTATTCTCATCAACTGGCCCACAGTGAACGTCAAGTGAAAGATGAGTGAGCTTCAAAAGAATCAGTGCATGAATAATTTAGATTTTTTGGGTTAAAACGTTTATTGTAACTCCAGTTGTGCTGATTTTCATTTAACTTGGAGGCGACTTGTGGGTTGAGAAAAGAAATTCAATGACCTCAGGTTTATGAAGATCTTTCCATCCTTTTTTTGTAGACACAAAGTTCTCACCCTTCATGCACTCTGAGTTTGTTCATTCAGAGAGTGGCAGTGCGTGACAAGGAGGGAAGTATTCAAACTTTAAATGTGAGGGGGTGTGATGAGACTGCCCTGCCCTTTACCGCTCCTCTTCTTTCTTCTCCTCTCCCCACCTTTTTTTATCAGAGCAGTGGTTTTATAAATGAGACCGAAACTTGCGTGTGTACAAATGCGGAAGCAGTGAACAATTTAGAAAAATCTCAGTGTTGTCCTCTAAGCGATCACAGTATGACTGAGTCATATTAAAAGTGCTGATACATAAGAACAGATCCTACATAATGTAGCTGTGATGATTTTACACACACTATTAGGATTCAGTTGGACACAAATTAAACAATTTTCCAAATACAAGTATTATATATTTATTTTTTATATTAATTAACCTGTTTATGTTGCAAAAACAAAATGAGAGAAAAGGACCCAAAAAAAAGCCTGACAAATTGCTGCAGCTTGAAGAGCAGTCAGACGCAGTCACAACATTTCCATTGGTTAACCACTGGTTTCCCCCTCCCCCCACCCTACAGCCAGTCGGAGTGTATGATAGGGGGAAACAAAAACCTCTGAGATTTGTCATGAGTCACTGTGGTACATGCAAGGTTAACACGGCAAAAGCATGCATGTGTAGATAAACTGTGGTAGTTCTTCTGTCAGGCAATAGCAGCCAACTGAGAGCTGGACAGCAGCGATGGAACAGGAACACGCAAACACGTTATGTTTTTTAATTTTGTGTTTAATAAGTATTTTATCTAGCTATTTTATGTGACTCACCTGTCAGGTGGGAGACCTAGGGCGCTCAGATTTAGCTGTAAAGACCCCACTGGCCTATTTGCACAACCTCAAAATGGTAAGCAGGATACAGATCAGTAGGTTTCACTGGGTTTTTTTTTGTTCACACCCAGCAACCTGTTAAAAGAAATTCCCAGCACATGACATTTAATGCTTTTGTAAAGGCTCATTTAAAAGAATTAACACAAATTATAGACTATCAAACCTGTGATTATTTAAGTTTAATGAACATGAATACTTTGTTTTGAGTTGATCACAAATCCTCCTGCTGGAGCACCAACTGTAAATTTGTCCACTGTTTAAAATAGTTCCTTAACACATACACAGTTTACTCCTGTTTGAGTTACATTAACTAAAAACTATGGTGCCATATTCATGAGCCATTTTGAAAGATTTACATCTTCATTAGGACTGAGTGCGGAGGGCCAAGTGCTTCAGACAGGGTGGAGATGAAGAAAATGAGGGATGGCCAGTGCAACTTGTTGGTCTTTTCTTGGGAAATACAAAATATTGTCAGCCTTTAAAAATACCACAGAAATAAAGACAAAAAAATAACAGTATAGCTGACAAATTAAAATCCTCTTCCCTGTACTCAGATCAGGCAGTTGCGTGGACAGAAGACAGCCCCCAGAGTCAGCGGTGGAGGAAGTACCAACTACCAGGATCTCTGTCTAGCCAGCCCTGCCTCCGCCGAGGGGGACTACCTGAGCTCAGACGAGGACCTCCTCCCAAGCCCGCTGCCTGCCAGCGCCCTTTACCCCACCCTGTCCGGCCCGTGTCACACGTCTGCCCGGCTCGACAGCGAGGGCAGCACAGACAGCGAGGCAGAGGAGCGGGTGCGGACACATCCGGACCCACAGCAGCTGTACAGCAGCATGGTGTGCACCGAGGCGCTGGATAACTGAGACCTGGAGGAGGTGTGAAGGTTTCATTGGATTTGTTTGACCTAAAAAGATGCTGGAGCTCTACAGGACAGGACTACTACTGTAAACTGGGACTGTATTATCCAATCCAGTCCTTCTCCTCGGCTTTTCCAGTGTTTACCTTTAACTTGATGCAGACATAGTGGCATTGATTGGACCTCTTCTGATCATCACTAGCCATCGTGTTCGCTCCTGTTACTGTCTCTGCCACCTTGTTCCCCATACTGTCGGATCCTGTGTTCCCCCGACGAAGAGGTCATGTAAAGCCTCTCTCCCTCTTGTTCCCATGTGTAACTGCGCCAGAAACTGTCCCGTCAAAATACATATCCATCCGAACACAAACATATGACACACAAACAAACAAAATGGACTGAAACTGAACCAGTAAGAGTGTTGTTGCTGCTCGCTGCTCGAGATCGACCACTGGACCTGAATCTGTGACTGTGGACAAGGAGGGAAACATGGGTAGACAGACAAACTCTTCCCTCTCCCTATAAACTGAGTAATAGACACTTGACACACTGTATGCTCTGTCTACCCTTATATAACTCTCCTTCCAGATTGGTTCAGAGTTAAATACATCTTTATCCTCTCTTTTCCCCTTTTATGTCTCTCAATAGGAAGACATACACACACAAAAAAAACGTCTATCAGCCATCCATTAACCTCTCAGTAGACCAAGTGTTAATATAAAAGGTGGTGAGTATGAGAAGGAGAGGCGCAGTGGAGGAATATGTACACATCAAACTGTAGGGATATCACAAGATGGCATTCATTAATGAATCATGAACACTTTAACATACTAAATATGTGTGTTGTCTGTGTCTGTGGCTTGCAGATAACAAGAAGGCAAGCGAGTTAATACAACAGCTCATGTCAAAACATATTCACCATAACCCACAAAAAAAAGGAAGGAAGAAACTCAATGTTGCCAAATCTTTTGTTTTTTTTAAATTATTTATATGTTGTAATTTATTTTGATATTTTTTTTATTTTTTTATATATCTATATGAACTATAGGACTGTAGAGATACCGACAGAGGCCAAACTTTCTACACCGTCCTTTGTGCCAACTAGTCGTCTGTTGCAGGTTCACTGTGACACTGAGTGTTTCGGAGACTGAAAATGTGCTGCTATGATTTTAGATTTACTTCTTCCATTTTGTTCTTTCTGTTATTTTTTTTTTTTTTAAATATCAGAGAGTTGAAGATGCAACCTCCTATTAACTCTGCCATAGATTAGGTTGACAAGTACTGTGCAGACTGATCGAATCCGAAAACTGAGCAGTTTAACTTGATTCCTCCCTGGAGCTTCTCAGCATTTCACAATGATGGGAACAATTTGGTTTTCTTCAGAAACCAAGCATTATCATTGTGTATGTGTGAGTTATGGGAATAGTTTGACATTTTAGGATATATATTTATTGACTTTCTTGCTAAGAGTTACATGAGAAGACCGACATGACTAATGTTACAGCCAGGAGATAGTTATCTTAGCAGGGCGGTTACGTGCCAGATTATTTCTTGGCTGGGCATAGTGGCTTCCTGCACACAATCGAACACTTCAGTTTTTGAGCACTTTTAAACTGTGGCCACAAGTGATATAATGGTAAAAGTGAGTAATGTCAGTTATAAATACCAATACAATGCCATATCTATCTTTGCTAACATTATAAGCTACTGGCCTTACTATGAGTTAGGTTGCAGCAACTCCTAAAGCCACTGAGAGTGTTGAATTAAACAAGGGTTTGTTTTATTGCTAATTATTTGAACTTTTAACTCATAAAAAAGAAAAAATGTGTTACTCCCTCAAAGCTGCCCTGTATTTAAGTTGTTTTAAATAAAGGAGAATGTGTTAATTGGTGAAATTTAGAGGTGAATTTTGTTACCTTTAGACAGAGCTAGGCTAGCTGCTTCCCTTTGTTTCCAGTCTTTATGCTAAGCTAATCAATCCATCTCCTGGCTATAGCTTTATATTTAACAGACAGACTTGAGAGCGGTTTCTGTCCCCTCATTTAAGCGAGTAAGTGTATTTCCCAAAGATGTCAAACTATTCCTTTAATTATCAGTGTCCCATACAAGCAAAAATAAATCCAGGTAACAGTGCTGATCTGGAGTCACCAGTTCATGTGCTCATATCACTTTCTGACAGCTGAAACTGCAGCATGTGGGCCATTGAAAGTGGAGGGAGTAGTTCATAATGTAAGAATGCCAACAAAAAGTCTGTCATCATTACCAGAGAGTGTGTGGGTGGAAAATATTTTACATATCAAACAACAATATATTCTGTGTAGAAAAAAAAAACGGTGTAAAATGTATGGAGAAATATGAAATATACAGTGTGAGAGGAACAAAAGTATATAGATAAGATTTAAAGCTGTATCACTGTCAGTCAAGTCTTACTGAAGATGGTGAGAAGTCTGAGTGTGTATAGTTTATCAAACAGGGTGTCAAATGAAGAGCAGTGATCTGCTTTTTGCACTACAGAGAAAGAGAAACTCTCTGCTCTTGACATTAGCAGTGAGAGATGGTGTGGATTAATGGATTCATATTACATTGAGCTCTTCAGAGGGAGCTTGACATTATCTAAGTACCTCGATCCAAGATTATCCATCCGCACTATTGTGCTGATTATTCTTCAGACTCATTTTGGAGGATTGTCTCTAAAGACCCACTTTCTGCTTCACAATGCTACCTAACTTTTTCGTGCAATACAAATGAAAGAATGGTAAAGGAGATAATTATTGCCATCTTCTCAGAAATAAGGAAATTGGATGTTCCAGTTATGGCCATCAAAGAGCTAAAGAGGATGTCAGTTAGCCCACCAAACTGTTGCAAATAACAGCTTTTTAGTGGTCATTGGTGGGTGTAACTGAAATCAGTGTTTGGATATCGTCAGAGCAAATGAGTGTCAGCCAAATGGTTTCAGTTGAGTTCCCTCTATTTCTTTATATATACAGAATTTAGACTGGCATCGGCTCTGTCTAGCATGAGTTTCAGGCCATTCCATTCATTTACTTTGGGTCATAACTGGCTGAATTTCTCACTTCAAGTTATAATCCTTAAGATTTTCATTCTATCAGACCTCACTCTTGATAATATTTCTGTGTGGAAATAGTTTACATTTACATTCTGTAATTACCTCTCTATAAAGTAGTCTTCATTGTTTCTGGTGGGGTCCAGTTTTGCCTTGTGGGATTCAAAGGACTTACAGGACTCAAGATAGATGCATGTACTGGACATGATGTGGAAGACAGAAGTTGGTGCATGTATGCTTTTTGTAATGCACAAGGCAAAAATGGATGAGTTCAGTATTACCGTGTCGGCAAAAAAATGTTGTTGACTGTCTTCTTTAAGGTGCCAGTATACTCAGTCAGAATTGTTAGACGGATGGTTGAATAGCTTTTGGAAACCCCCTCCAACCACACCGTCCTGACGTCGGATTGGGGGGGTTCCGACAAACTTTCAGAAAACCGACAATCCGACATTCGCAGCCTCCAAGTGGCCTGCTGAGGTGAGGTGAGAAAATAAGATGTGTTGGAAATTAATTCTCGGCGCAACAATTTCTGACACTTTTGATGTGTACATAATTTAAAACGATATCGCGTCTCCCCCTCGTTATGAAGTCTGGTCGTTCTGAACAGCTCGAAACACTCGTGCCCTCCAACATGATTGAAAAACACATTGTACGTACTACTTTTTGAGCATAACCTATTCTTCTGCGATAAATCCTCTCAGCCCATGATTTGTTTGGCTCTGCTGCAAACATATGGACACGTTGCAAACATGTTACACAACCACTAAGAGCATGTTTCAAACTGATCTCTGGGCGTTGTATTAATAAAAAGCATTTACCACCACTAACCACAGGTGTTGCCAGATTCACAGCTACTGAAATCATAAGGATTTTGAAATGCAAAGAGGAATCTTTTCATTTAGGACTGAGTTTCCAAATTGATCGATAATCTGGACCTAGATCAGTACTCAGTGTCCTTCATCGGTACATTGCTGTTCAGTGATGGTGCTGTTCTCACCACTGTCTAAATACAACTCTATCTACTGTGACGAAACATTTTGATATGTTTGTAAATTACTTTTGAATATGGTACTAGCTCTCATCCTTAATATTATTTTTATAATTACCATCAGTACTTTGTTTTCTCCTGCTAACAGCATTACATGAGATGATAATGATATTGTGCCATAAAAGTAGGTAGATTTACACACTATGCTAAATTACGTCACGTATGTTTAACAAGGGTTTTCATCGACACGTCAGCCACTACAGCCCTTCATTAAACAGCCATGTAAGATAAAGTGAATTTTGTGTGGATTCAAATGTGATCACAGTGTGTTGCTCCAGATGTATCATCTTGAAACTGGAACATCCACACGTTTTCCCTGATTTAAAGTTGGAAATAAGACAATACAGTGCAAAACAGTGTGTCACACGTGAGGTTTTTCCTCACCGACGGTAAGAAAAAACAGACATGTTGTTTTGTTCATCCTGGTTAGTCGGATTTGTAGGATTTCTCAGATTTATGTGCTGTATGTGACGGCTGTTTGATATCCACAGCATCATTCCCAGGAACCCTGCCCACCCTCTCTCTTTCTGTCTTGCAATTCAACTGATGTTGTTATCAAATATATTAAATGACAGTAAAGATTATATAAATTCCAGTATGATGGGGAAAAAATACATTTCAGTGTTCTGTATCCTATGAATGATACAAAATAAACTTTGACATTGCACCTTTGCAAAGGCCTGATTGTGTTGTTATTGTTTGTTATGGGGTGATTTACTGCGGGTGCAGTTGTTCATGCTCTTTTAGGTCCAGGGGCAACAGCAGTCAGTTTTGCACCAGCTCTTCATAACTTCAAACTTGGCTTTGTTATAACACTTTTACTGTGTTAAGATTTTCAGTGCTTGAGATTAGTTATTATTACGACCTGTTAATACCCAGTAACTACCAGGTGTAATTGTAAACTGACAAAGCTAACATTAGCTTGCTATTTTATTTTAGACTTTTAGACTGAAGAGTAAAAGAGGTACACAAAAGGGTCAAGGCTACCTGACTTAATCAAAATGCATAATGTAAAAAAAAAGAAGACAAATAAGTCACATATCACAAAAATAACACAATATGCCTTAAACTACAAAACCTTATGCTAATAAGATCAGACTAAGTAACATAATCAAATATTTCTCACTCATACTAAATCACATGAATACTACTAACTGTGAAAAATATATTTCTCAGTATATACATTTATAGTTAGACCTGCATTTACAAAGTATTAACAGTTAACTTTAACATACAGCTCGGCCCCAAAGACTATTATTTTTAGTAGTTACGTGACATTTGATGATGGTATAGTGACTTCCTGTTCAAGCATTGCTGGTAAATGACAAGTTTGAAACCAGCTAGTAGTTCCTTAGACTTTGTGTGTCTTTGCACATAAAATCAGAGATGGATTTTCATATAGGCTAGTGGATGCAACCCAATTCAAGAGCGCATTTGAAATTGTGTGCTGTAGATACTTTTTATGCTGAGACAGCAGCAGTTTCCCACCGTAGTTTAATTTCCTGAAACAGTTGGTGTTTTTAACAAACATTACTCAAACAGAAGTAAATAGGTCATTTGTTGGAGACTCGTCAGCAGCGGATTAATACACATTCAGTCTTTTGTTAAGTATTTAAGGCAGCAGGATGGTGTACAGTACCCATGTTCATCATATTGAAGGAACATGCTACCCAGTGCAACGCTGTGGCTCTTTAATGTGTTTATAAGGACAGCTGGCAGAAAGGAATATGCTTTATCAGGCTCTGGCTCACAGGAACTACTTTTGGTGTTTGAAGTATTTGTTGACAATGAGAAAAATATATAATATGTCCAGTCTTATTCTAACACTAACAGTAGTAAGCAAAGGCATACAAATAAAAACTGAAAATAGAACAAAAATATACTCTCATTTATAACAGCCATACAAACATTTTCTCCTGCTGTGTCTCTTTCTCATTAATGAATGTTTTCATTTAATGCTATAAAAAGGCAAATCTGCTATTGCATCAGCCAGCTTCTTTTTAACTTGACCCCAATGGTCTATTTTGTAACACAGCTGTGTCGACACGGTATGTCAACACTTTCTAAAGAATTTTCAGCACCGTTGTTCACCCTCTTCCTCCCAACCTCCGCTTTATCTGTCTTCCCTAGATTACTCTAATGCTGTGTTAAGTTTGTGCACCACTGTTATATATCCTCAATTTCCACAGAAAAGTTTTAAAAAAGTAGAACTAGACAGATGTTGTGCTGCTGCTAGTGTGCAGTGTGTAGGTTTGTGTGAGGAAGCAGTGTGGTTGTCGACTCAAAAGGTGTCAGAGCTGAAACACTTCCTCGTCCTTCACTCTCATCACACCGACCTGCAGACAACATCAACGGCTCACAATCCAGCTCAGAGCAGACTGACCTCACATGTGACAAACTGACTCTACGTTTTTCTAACTTGATATGAGACTTTTATCTAAACTAATTTATCAGTTTAATTATTAGTGTAAAGTTTGTGTGACGTTAAGAAGCACTTGTGGAATGTAAAAATCTGGTGAGTATTTGCATATTTATTTTTAATAACAAACTTCATGTTTCTGGTTGACTGAGAGCTACTACAGCTTTGGTTTGGTTTGCTGATGTGTATTTATTGGTACCTTTTAACATAATGAAAGTTCAGACTGTTTGACAGGTATAGAGTTTGGGGACTGCTAGACAAAGAGTAGGCTAAAACAAGTCACATTATATCATATGTAATGATCTATATTCAACAAATCTACTTTGTATTGATTCAAATGATAACCCTGTAGCTTTGTAATTATTTCCATGTGGCACATAGTGACACAAACATCACAGAAATGTCAAATTTTTTGACTTTATGTAGTTTTACAGACACCAAACGCATTCCTGAAAAAATATTAAGTGTGTTCAGATTGAGCTACAGATTATGGATGTCGTGTTTGCTTTGGTCATCCTTGAGATAAAGGATCTAGATTAGAATCCAAATTCAGATGATTGGACTCACAGGCCTGTATGTCGAATACCACAGTTAACACGACATGCTCGAGCAAAAACAGAGCCAGAGAAGTCACGGTCGAAGTAAACCAGTAAATCTTCATGATAAAATGAAAGGTCAGACCCACATTGACCCTTCCTTGAGCAGGAGGCCGTCAATTCATTTTGAATGTGTCAATCTTATTCAATACCAGTTTGAACATGTCAAACTAATTTCAAGTCGCTCATAGCTGTTATAAAACTGACATCTATTGCAGTCACAGCAGTTTCTTTTTTTAAAACACATATATTTAGTGAATTATTGAAAAACAGTTCAACAAATGTATATGTTCAAACACATATGAACAAGCACATACGGTGCAATAGGGTGCAATATAACAATACTTAATACAACACCTCAAAGTAAAACATACCAGATTAAAAGAATAAACTTATAAGCAAATGTGCACATATTATGTCACCAACATATATAACAATATACCATCAGTGGTCTGTCAACTGGTTTCAAAAAGTGGGCTATGCTATGTTTTGTTTGTAATACAGAGATGTTAGTCTGTAGGTGTGTTTTTGTGGTTAGGTTAGATTCTAAGGAATTTTCTGAGATTACAACGATACACAGTTTAGGCCATGGAGGCAACTAGTACATTTACTCAAGTACTGCACTTAAGCACAATTTTGAGATTATTATAGGTACAGTATAAGTAAGAAATCAGTGTCCTAATGACGCTTGAGTATTTCTATTTTATGCTGCTTTACTCTACATTACAGAGGGAAATATTGTACTCTTTTACCTTCTCTAAATGTATTTGACAGATGTAGTTGGTAGTTATTAGTTTTTCTGGATTAAGATTTTTTATTTAAAAAGCTTATGAAATACAGTGAATTGTTAAAGATTAAATCAGTGGTGTCAAACTGTTTTTGATTCCTCACATAGAAGCAATGTATAGTCGTTGTTCATTTGTTGTTAATATTTTACGGATAAACTTTTCAGATGGTTTCATTTAAAAAACTGTTGCTCAAGGAAGTAAAATAATCCATTATTTCACAAAGAAAGCAAAGATTAGAGAAAAAGCCCAAATTATTGATACAGATTTGTGTCCCAGAGCTTTGATTTATCCTCTTTCTTACCCCATTAATTTCACAACCCTTCAGATAGATCTCATGACCCTTTGCAGGGGCCTGACCTAAGAACCGCTGGACTTAACTAGGTAACTGTATATAAAGTAGAAACAACAAGCTCCACCCCGACCAGCTACAACCGTAAAATGCTACTTATACATTCTTGCATCAGTATGAACGATCTTATAATGTAACAAGATATTATTCTCGAGAGCCATTTTACTGCAGCTTGAGCACAAGTATATTTATCTGATAATACTTCTGTACTTGAGTAGAATTTTTAATGCAGGTAAGTATTCTTAAATTGTTGTATTGGCACTTTCATTAAATTTTATGAGTACTGCCCTGAGGACTTCTCCCACCACCGCAGACAACCATACACGTGTAGACAGAATCTTTGACCAGAAACCTCGAGTGGTCCTATAGACAATGAAATAACAGGCCTTTCTTTGTTCCACATTGGATACATATCTCAGGAATATGGGCATTTAATAGATTTTTACAAGGTTGGTGTTATATATAACCTCATTATCAGTTTATATTGGTAAGTGTTTATTGATTGTGTTTGAGTGGCTGAACAGATCTCTTGCCAATCCTCTGTAGTAACCTCGTTACTTATGTCCTCACAGCACACAAGCCTTTTACTTTCTGAGGAGACCAGGGAACTGTCCATCAACATTTTATAAAAGTCCCTTCATGTTGTGATGGTTTACTGCTATCTTTTCGACGGAGTGGAGAGAAGAGGGATGTGTCTTAAATATATAGTTTCTCGTTTATTTTTATTCATTTATTAATGTTAAATGCATGCAACACTCACCTTGTATTTTGTTTTTTGCTATGTGGTTTAACACCTCATTTGTGTTCTACTAACCCCTCCTGCAGCTACACATTTGCTCAAATGTTAACACTTACTCATGAAATGTGTTGATGTTAAGTGATGACGCTGAAATTCTGGTATGACTATTTGTGTCACACAGTCACAAACCAGGTTTGTAGGAATTTTTTATCCAAATGTCAGTTTTAGTCAGATTTGCCTTTCACTTGCTTTCACCTGCTTTCACCTGCGGTGTGAATGGAGGTTAACAGAAGCTCCAAAGACGGTAGAACCAGACCAAGGAAAACCACCTATCAAACCTTTAGTATCAAGCAAGGCACTGCTGACAGCAGGGCATGTGCCAGGCCACCCAGTGTGTGTCAAGCTGAATTTAACAGACTGACCAAAAAAAAAAAGATTGTTGGTCAGATGTGACAAAAACATAATAAAAAATTTTAATACCATATTTACACAGATTCAAGCAAGAAACAAAGTATATGTACAGTTCTGCTGCCCTCTGGTGGGGAATACAAACACCACGTGTATCTTTGGTAGGAGGAAGGAGGTAGGCTGTACATTTGAATGTCATCACTAACACTATCATTCATTACATTTTTTTAATCCTCCAGATGACTTTGATTTCGGGAGTACAGCAGGTCCTCCTTCCTCCTGAGTGATGCCTCGTTCTTTCTTGGTAAAGCGAGGAGGGCTGCACCATATTCGGCCTGCAGCAAGAAGCCCCAGCCCTGGATTGACCCCGATAACATTTAGCCAGCTAGGAAAACAGACAGGGTCCTGGGATACACCCCTGGAGTACTCCACAACAGAAACACCACATAATCACGCAGTGCCCATCGCAGTATTGCAGCAGAGCCTTCAGGTGGACAACCACTCTGATGGAAGTGGGCACCTTCAGCCGTTCAGTCCCAAATCTTATGGTGGGTGACAGAGCTTTATACTTGTTTATTTGGAAAATAAAGCAATTTTCCTCTTAGATAACTTCAAATAACAAAATGATTTACAGTAAGATGACAGGGATGAGTCAAAGCATAGGACAGGACACATATATGTTAATCATTCCAAAGTTTCAGAAGGTTGCATAAAAGCAGCTAATGAATTAAAATATTTGTCTTTGTATTCAGACAGTAGATCTACTGAGCCATGCAGTCCTGTCAACTCAAATACTTTGAGCCCCGTGGAGAAAGCAGAGTCTAGCACTCCAACACCAGCAGTATGGTCCAGACCTCATGTGAGTTCAAGATATTCAGATAAACTGTCTATGGGACTGGAAGACCCGGCTCAGCACCCTCAGATCCCGAGAGAGACCAGGAGCCGTGGATGCTCGAGGATCAGTGCACCGAGGCAAGAGTGTCCATTCTGTAGCAAAGTATGACATCCCTCCATGACACTGTATTACAATAGCCTTACAGACCAAGAACAACTGAGGAAAATAGCTCAGCTGAAAGGGGAAGTTAGAGGATACTAGAGGAACTTGAGTTGAGTTAAACTAACTTTATTTCCATTATAAGTAAGCTCATAGTGTAGTACAATAGTGGTTCCCCTTAAAACACCACAAAGATTACTATGAAAACTATTAGCTAACAACAGCATGCTAACATGGTCACAATGACCACAATGTTGCAGATGCTAATGCTTACTACGTCCACCATTCTAGTTTAGCATTTCTGCTGACATTTGCTAATTACCACTAAATACAAAGTACAACTGAGGCTGACAGGAAGGTCATTAGTTTAGTTTTGTCTTCCAATTCCTTAATAACTTAAGTTAGTAACAATAACCTGAATTATTATACTGATCAATTAAGCCCCAAAATATTTTTTTTTAATCTGGTAATTGTTGTGGGTGTGGTAGTGTCAGGTTATACAAAGTCCTTATAAATGTGGATATGTGGTCTTTTTATAGAAGAATGTGTGAACAGATTAGGACCTCGACTTTTGACATGAATTTACTACAAAGGGCAAAAGTGATCAGAAGTTAAAAGACAGAAATGGAACAAATGTAAAAATGGGAGACATATTATTTTTTAGTTCTCCAGTGTTAAACTGTTCATCTTGTCTTGGCAGATATTTTCATGCCTGTCAAGTTTGAAGACTCACATTTGCAAGAGCTACGGAAGCAGATCAACGCTGTCACCAGCACTCATTGAGTCCAGCAGGACTTTTACTGAGCGGTCACTATGCAGGGGCAAGGTCAGCATCACATTTCTTTTTCTACGGAGTTAGCCTTTTTTAATGCCTTTGGACAAAATGCACAATGCACACTTGAATAATCAATTTAATGCATTTAAACAACACTCCTGGATCCACAACTGCGGTGCTTGTTGTTTTAGGAGAGGACGTTTGGCTGTACAGTGTGTGGAAAAGTATTCAAGCGCTCCTCCACCCTTTCCACCCATCTGCTCATACATTCAGACACCCGGCCCTACCCCTGCCAGTTCTGCGGCAAAAGGTTCCACCAGAAGTCTGACATGAAGAAACACACCTTCATACACACTGGTGGGTTTGTATATCTTCTTTGGTTGTTTTTTAATATAAAAGCCTGAATAATTTCTAAGAAATTATTAAACTGAACTGCAGGTTCAAGTTTCAAATTCACAGTATTGTCTATGACCCAAACAAATGTCTTTAGTGTTTAGTTTGAACATCCTGTGTATTCAAATGACCTGTGCTGTGTTTGTGTGCCAGGGGAGAAGCCTCATGTGTGTCAGATATGTGGGAAAGCATTCAGCCAGAGCTCCAACCTCATCACCCACAGCCGTAAACACAAGGATGACCGACCCTACCGCTGCCCTCGTTGCCTCTACGGCTTTCAGCACAAAGTGGACCTGCGGCAGCACCAAGAGCACCACTGCACCTACCGCTGACTGACACGGCCGAGTCAATATTCAGCCTTTTACCAGCGGAAACACATTCAGGACATTAAGCTAATGAATGTGTTGTTGTGATGATGAAGTCAAATCTTCCATCTCAAGCTATAGTTGTTTATATTTTACATTTAACTGCCTTTCAGGACACAAAAGGAAGAAAGATACTCTTCTTACTCTTCTCACAGGTTTCCAACACAGTAATGTAGTTATTTCAGGACCCTACGACTTGGAAGTAATGGTTACCTTTGATCTACTTTTTACCTGTTGAGGTGTAAAAATCCTAATAGTACTTACTATTCTGAGTTACCCTCATGTTAATTACAGCGTTGTCCACCATTATTTGTGCCAAGGGAAACGCTATTTATTTCCCCACATGATTTGTCCATATTCTCTGTAGATCTGTGATCATGGTGAACTCCAAGGTTTATGTGCAGCTGAACTTTTACTTTCGGTCTACAGTACACAGATTTAACATTGTGGAAATGTAGCTTCAACACAAACTGGTGACTACATGATTTCATTACATCTCTCTCTTTGAAAGCAGCTGAAACCAACAGCTAGAATGAATGTAGTGCAGCGTAAGTAAATGATGTAGTACTACTGGATGTAGTGCAGTTCAGTACACCAGGCCACACTGAATGCTTTCCTCCTTACTTTTCTGCAGATGATCACAACAAGAGTTCACGCTAGCCCAATAAATACAGATATAATTTGTGGTTTTTCTTTTCATTCTGTTTATTTGGCGCACAGCACACATTACAGAGTGTTTTCTTTATAATTTGCAGGATATGTTTCAAATAATGTTGTTGTGGACACCTTCAGCTGTTAAAAGCCTTTATTAGTTTTGTACCACTGAGCTCTGGCAACAACATCATTGGAGTAGTCTCCACCTGTTGAGCCGCCATCCACATTTTCAACAGTGAGGACGTTCTTATCCCCCATATTGTAGGCTGCGATCCCTCCTGCAGAGACAAATACAAATGAGAACGAAGCTAATCAAAGAGACTTAAGACCGTAAAGTGAATCTACTGGTTCAGTAAAATTAACCTTTCAGCTGCTGCTCTGGGGTCCAGCCAGGAAATTTGTTGCAGATCCTTTTGATAAAATTAACCAAGATCCCGGTCGCTTGGGTGAGGTGTTCCTCACTGTCCCACGCACCCTGTGCAGTGTGTCCACCTCCTTTTGGATTAACATCAACCTACAAAAATGGGGTGAACACTGGTGTTATTGTATTGTAATGTGGCACTCTACTAAGAGGATATGAGTAAAACAGTAGCATTTATTACAACCTGCATCAGTCCCCAGCCATTTCTCTTATCTCCCCAGCCATTAGTGAGTGCATTTCCAGCCCTGGATTCTCTGGAAATGATGGCAGCAATGAGAGCGGGATCAATTCCACAACTTCCTCCTACTTTGTTGATTTTAGACCTGTACTTTTCCATTCTGTCTGCATCAGTCTGTGCCATGGTGTGTGATGCCTTCACACCTTTAGAGAGAAATCAAACAGAACAGGATTATGGCCATAATGCAAAAATGTCCCTTTCAATCCATAGACCTGAAGACTACAGGATTACTTTTTCAACAAGTTTTGCTGTTTATCTAATTCAGTTTACCTGAGTATCCCAGATTGTCCCACTTAGATGTTTTCTGTGAAGCACCAGTAGTTTCAACTTTCATGATGTCTCCAAAATCTGCAAATGTTCAGTATATTTGATTATTTTGTTAATCAACACAATTCAACATTACCACAAATCATGAGGACCTCAATGGACTTTGCAGTTACGTGTGCATGTTATAGCAATCCTGGCACTACAGGACCCACAAAACTACAAATGGAAAATAGAATACGGTAGATATACAGCGTAGGCTTGTGCTGTAATATTACCTTTGACACATACAAACATCTAATATAAAGTAATAGGACACACTATGTTGAATAAGTATCCCAAAGTTTCTTTCTTAGGTTGCGTTTATACCACAAGCACATTAAAGTAAAATTCTACAAACAGGAAAATTACAGAAACACCCACCCATCTTCCTGTTCCTCTTCTGTGGTGTATGTCAAACTGGAATGAGCTGCAACACAGTCTGTCTCTCTCTCTCTCTATCCACTCTTTAGTGTGCGTATGAAGGATATTTATACCGGTATGTCTACTTTGCTCGACCCGCCTCTTGTTGACTTCATTTTTTTAGTTGGTTAGGTTTAGGCATGAGGAGTGTAATGTCACAGTCAGAGCCAAATAGAGGCAGAATAGAGATGGACTTCACCTTCCAAACCAAAATAAAAAAAACTGTTTACTCAGCAAAGGATGGGTGGTGCCAGTGGAGAACATCAGGTGAAAGCAGCTAACATTACCTTTAACACATCTGAGAAACAAGGATTTTCTATAACCTTCTTCAAGAAAAAAGTGAGTTTATTTATTTCTAATGAATAGTTAACACTATTATTTCCAGAGTGGTGTTTTCAAAGTTCAATAGGATGCATTATAATCTGATTGTATCATTAGGAAATATAATCAGAACAGTCACACAAAACAGTATTTCTCTATTGATTTCCCTGCTTCCCTTTAGGTGACATTCAGATCCCCAGACCTTTCCAATGGATGGATAAAAAAATAAAAAAAATATGAGTAAATGCTGTAAGTCTTTTACATATTTTGACATGTGTAAGTTATATAACATCTCATGTTTACTGTAAACACAGTTTAAACAGAAATGATGCGCTTTAACAACGTGACATTAAAATTTGCCCAGGTTGCCCAGGTGGTCATAATGTTACAGCTGATCGGTGTATTTCTTTTCACAGAGTTTCTTGCTTACTGTTGCTGTTGCAATTGCAACAGTAAGCAGGTTGGTTAGGTTTAGGCATGAGGATTATCTCCCCAGGGAAATTCCCCCAATTTTTGTGACAGTATTGTACATTCACCCAAAAGCAAACGCCCAAATTGCTGCTGCAAATTGCACCATCTACAGAGTGACTCAAAAACTCCCCTCCCTTTCCCATCATACTCTGTGCCTGTTAATGGAGAATTTTAATAACTGCAAGTTAAACAAATCATTTAATCTTAACCAGTACATCACCTGCCCAACCATGAAAAATAAGACTCTAGATGTATGTTATGGTTCTATAAAAGAAGTATACAAGGCTTCTCATTGGCCCAGCGGTTCCTCTGACCACAGCGCCATCTATCTCACCCCTGAATATAGGCCAACACTGAAGAGGCAGAAGGTGAAGACAAGAGAAGTCAAGGTCTGGAATGAAGATGCTGTCTCTAAATTATATATGCATTACATTAATGCACTCAAATTTTCTGCACGTTTCTTATCTGTCTTATCTTTATTTATTTATATTTTAAAAGTGCTTATCTTTGTGTGATTTGTATATTTGTATATCTTATGCATCAATACACCAAGACAAATTCCTTTGTAAAAACTTAAATGGCAATAAACCTAATTCTGATTCTGATTCTGTACAGACTGATCTCTTCCCCAGACTTTATATTTAAGTGCATATTAACCCTATAATTTAGACTTAATTCATGTGTAGACTTGACGTGATCAAATCAGTTTCAAAAATCAACAGACTCCAAAATATGATACTTGACTAGACTAGATAATACGTTTTGATAAGTTTGATATACACTGATCAGCCATAACATTATGGGCACTGACAGGTGGAAATGAATAACACTGATTATCTACTTATCATACCACCTGTCAGTGGGCGGGATATATTAGGCAGCAAGTGAACATTTTGTCCTCAATGTTGATGTATTAGATGCCCAGGTGGTCATAATGTTACAGCTGATCGGTGTATTTCTTTTCACAGAGTTGGTCTGCAATTGCAACATGAAGCAGGTTGGTTAGGTTTAGGCATGAGGATTATCTTCCCAGGGAAATTCCCCCAATTATTTGTGACAGTATTGTACATCCACCCAAAAGCAAATTCCCAAATTGCTGCTGCAAATTGCAGCATCTAATTTGAGTGACTCAAAAACTCCACTCCCTTTCCCACTAAGCCCTGTGCCCGTTAATGGGAGATTTTAATAACTGCCAGTTAAACAAATCAGTTAATCTTTGCCAGTACATCACCTGGCCAACCAGGACAAATAAGATTTATGTTATGGTTCTATAAAAGGAGTATACAAGGCTTCTCCTTGTCTGACTGCTCAAACCTGCCAGCCATCAACTCATCAGTCCTACAATATATCAACTCTGGTTCTTCATTCACTCTCCGCCAGATCGTTGTTTCTACATGTTTGGTAGCAATTCTCTTGCCCAGTTGGTGAAACTGAACATAAGTTTTTTTCCTTCGTGTTGACATACTTAACCTTGTTTTTTCCTGTGCCTCAGGATCATCACCTAATCTTCAGCGAACCTGCCCACTCCTTCTGCTCAGCCACACTGCCTCCACCTTCAGTTCCACTCTGCCCCAGATCTCAGCTATTATCCTCTCACCACTACCAGCTGGAGCTTCACCTCACCATCTCATCGGCCACCAACTAGTTTTACAAAAAAAAGCCCTGTTTTTAGTAATCAAATTTAACCCAGCTTGTGTTCTGCTTGTGGGTTCCTCTGTTTAACACAGCAAAACACAAGGATGACCGACCCACCTCGGACACACGTCTGGGTGGTCGTCTGCCTCGACCAGTTGGGGTGAGAGAGAGAGAGAGAGAGAGAGAGAGAGAGAGAGAGAGACAGAGAGAGGCAGAAGGAGACAGAGAGAGACAGAGAGAGAGAGAGAACAGAGATAACGGCAGAAGGACAGAAACAGAGACAAAAGTGCACAGCAACAACAGTAGCAACAACTACACTAATAGTAGTGACTTATGATGATGATGAGCATGAAGAAGATGACGACGACAACGACAGCATCGATGGGGGACAATGAGCAGTGATTATAGTAATAATAGTATCTGTAGTAATAATAATAATAACAACAATGATATCAGGGATATTAACAATGGGAGTCAAGCAGGACCATGGCAGGATGCTCCACCAGGATCCATGAAAACCTGCGAGACGAGAAAGCACAAGAACTCCAGGGAAGAAGTAAAGTTAGTAACATGCATTAATGGGACATGAATGAGTGCAGAAAGAGAGAGGAGCTCAGTGCATCATGGGAAATCCCCTGATAGTCTAGGCCTATAGCAGCATAACTAAGGGATGGTTCAGGACTCACCTGATCCAGCCCTAACTATAAGCTTTATCAAAGAGGAATGTCTTAAGCCTACTCTTAAATGTGGAGAGGGTGTCTGCCTCCCGAACCACAACTGGAAGCTGGTTCCACAGGAGAGGAGCTTGGTAACTGAAGGCTCTGGCTCCTGTTCTACTTTTAGAGACTATAGGAACCACAAGTAGCCCTGCATTCAGAGAACGTAGTGTTCTAGTGGGGTAATAGGGTGCTATGAGCTCTTTAAGATATGAAGGGGCCTGACCATGAAGAGCTTTATAGGTGAGGAGGAGGATTTTAAATTCTATCCTAAATTTTACAGGGAGCCAGTGCAGAGAAGCTAGTACAGGAGAGATGTGATCTCTTTTTCTAGTTCCTGTCAGTACTCGTGCTGCAGCGTTCTGAATTAATTGGAGCGTCTTAATGGACTTATTGGGGCAACCTGATAATAAGGAATTGCAGTAATCCAGCCTAGAAGAAACAAATGCATAGATTAGTTTTTCTGCATCCGTCTGTGATAGGATGTGTCTAATTTTTGTAATATTGCGTAAATGAAAAAAGGCAGTCCTAGAAGTTTGCTTTATGTGGGAATTAAATTACATGTCCTGATCAAAGAAAACTCCAAGATTCCTGACAGTGGTGCTAGAGGCCAAGGTAATACCATCTAGAGTAATTATATCTTTAGACAGTGAGTCTCGGAGGTGTTTGGGGCCAAGAACAAGAATCCAGGTTTTTATGTCCTTAAGACATGTTTGTAACGTAGATAACTGATTAATTTCATCGGGCTTGCCTAAGGGAATCATATATAAAGTGAATAGAATTGGTCCAACTACAGAACCTTGTGGAACTCCATGACTAACTTTAGTATTTATGGAGGATTCATTGTTAACATGTACAAACTGCGAGCGATCTGATAAATATGACTTAAACCAGCTTAGTGCGGTTCCTTTAATGCCAATTTGATGCTCAAGTCTCTGTAAAAGAATATTATGGTCAATGGTGTCAAATGCAGCACTAAGATCCAATAATACAAGTACAGAGACAAGTCCATTGTCTGAAGCAATCAAAAAGTCATTATTAACTTTAACCAGAGATGTCTCTGTGCTGTGATGAACTCTAAATCCTGACTGAAAATCCTCAAATAAACTATCATTATGTAGAAAGTCACACAACTGTTTGGTGACTACTTTCTCCAGAATCTTAGAAAGGAAGGGGAGGTTAGAAATCGGTCTATAGTTGGCTGCAACCCCTGGGTCAAGAGTGGGTTTTTTACGAAGGGGTTTAATTACAGCCACTTTAAAGGACTGTGGTACATATCCTGACAATAAAGAAAGATTGATCATATCTAGTGAAGAAGTGCCAATTAAGGGTACGACGTCTTCAAGCAGCCTAGTTGGGATCGGGTCTAATAGACAGGTTGATGGCTTCGATGAAGAAATTATTGAAGTTAACTGATGAAGATCGGTAGCAGAAAAACATTCTAAATATATATCTGATTTTACATTTGTTAAAGTTCCTGAACTTGGAGAGACAGCGATACCTGTTGAGGGCATTTGGTTATAATTATATCAAAAAAGAAGCTCATAAAGTCGTTGCTACTGAGGGTTATGGGGATACGTAGCTCAATAGAGCTGTGATTCTCTGTCAGCCTGGCTACAGTGCTGAAGAGGAACCTGGGGTTGTTCTTCTTTTCTTCTATTAGTGCTAAATAATAAGCTCCTCTGGCATTTTGTGGGAAGACTATTAAATGTTCAATATCAATGCCATATGATAGAACGAGGTCAAGAGTGTGATTAAAACAATGAGTTGGTTTATTTACAATCTGACAGAAGCCAATTGAGTCTATTAATGATATAAATGCGTTACTAAGGCTGTCATTGTTAACATCCACATGGATATTAAAATCACCTACAATAATTACTTTATCTGATTTAAGGACTAAACTTCATAAAAACTCTGAGAATTCAGATATAAAATCAGAGTACGGGCCAGGAGCGCGGTACACTATAACAAATAGAACTGGCTGCAGTGTTTTCCAGGTCGGATGAGAAAGACTAAGAACAAGGCTTTCAAATGAATTATAATTTAGTTTAGGAATGTGAGTATTAATATGACTGGGGGGGTGGATTCATTTAGGCTAACATACTCCTCGTGGGACAACCAGGTCTCAGTAAGACAAAGTAAATCAATATCATAATCTGATATTAATTCATTCACTAAAACAGCTTTAGAGGAAAGAGACCTGATGTTTAACAGTGCACATTTCATTCTCTTGTTTTGTGCTACTGTGGAGTTAGTTTTAATTTGTATTAGGTTTTCATGTTTAATTCCTCTTGTTTTTATTTCATTAAATAATTTAGGTGGTTGGGGGACAGACACAGTCTCTATGGGGTTTTGGGTGGGTGACTGTTCTAAGGGAAGCACAGAGAAATGTGTAAGACAGCAGCTCTGCTTCCTGGTCCCAACTCTGGATTGTCAGGTTTTAGAAATAAACTTTGTCATATTTCGGGATAAGAGAGCCGGTCCATCCAAAGTGGGATGGATGCCGTCTCTCCTAATCAGACCAGGTTTTCCTCACAAGGTGATGGAATGAAGCCCACATCGCTTTCTGGACACCACCCTGACAGCCAGCGTTGGAATGATGACATGCGGCTATACATGTCACCACTGGTCAGATTGGGCAGGGGTCCAGAGAAAACTACGGAGTCCGACATTGTTTTAGCATAATTACAGACACTGACTCCACATTAATTTTTGTGACCAATGCACCTACTGTGATCATGTGAGGGGTGAACTCCAAGGTTTATGTGCAGCTGAACTTTTACTTTCAGTCTACAGTACACAGATTTAACATTGTGGAAATGTAGCTTCAACACAAACTGGTGACTACATGATTTCATTACATCTCTCACTTTGAAAGCAGCTGAAACCAACAGCTAGAATGAATGTAGTGCAGCGTAAGTAAATGATGTAGTACTACTGGATGTAATGCAGTTCAGTACACAAAGCCACACTGAATGCTTTCCTCCTTACTTTTCTGCAGATGATGACAACAACAGTTCACGCTGAGCCCAATAAATAAAGATATAATTTGTGGTTTTGCTTTGCATTCTGTTTATTTGGCACACAGCACACATTACAGAGTGTTTTCTTTAGGATTTGTAGGATATGTTTTGAATAATGTTGTTGTGGACATCTTCAGCTGTTAAAAGCCTTTATTAGTTTTGTACCACTGAGCTCTGGCAACAACATCATTGGAGTAGTCTCCACCTGTTGAGCCGCCATCCACATTTTCAACAGTACGGACGTTCTTATCCCCCATATTGTAGGCTGCGATCCCTCCTGCAGAGACAAATACAGATGAGAACGAAGCTAATCAAAGAGACTTAAGACCGTAAAGTGAATCTACTGGTTCAGTAAAATTAACCTTTCAGCTGCTGCTCTGGGGTCCAGCCAGGAAATTTGTTGCGGATCCGTTTGATAAAATTAACCAAGATCCCGGTCGCTTGGGTGAGGTGTTCCTCACTGTCCCACGCACCCTGTGCAGTGTGTCCACCTCCATTTGGATTAACATCAACCTACAGAAATGGGATGAACACTGGTGTTATTGTATTGTAATGTGGTACTCTACTAAGAGGATATGAGTAAAACAGTAGCATTTATTACAACCTGCATCAGTCCCCAGGCATTACCCCCATCTCCCCAGCCATTAGTGAGTGCATTTCCAGCCCTGGATTCTCTGGAAATGATGGCAGCAATGAGAGCGGGATCAATTCCACAACTTCCTCCTACTTTGTTGATTTTAGACCTGTACTTTTCCATTCTGTCTGCATCAGTCTGTGCCATGGTGTGTGATGCCTTCACACCTTTAGAGAGAAATCCAGAACAGGATTATGGACATAATGCAAAAATGTCCCTTTCAATCCATAGACCTGAAGACTACAGGATTACTTTTTCAACAATTTTTTATTAAATCAGTTGCTGTTTATCTACTGCAGTTTACCTGAGTATCCCAGACTGTCCTGCTTAGCTGTTTTCTGCGAAGCACCAGTAGTTTCAACTTTCATGATGTCTCCATAACCTTCAAAAATTGTATTCATTTATTCAATTATTTTATTTATCAACACACCTGCAAGTCAACATTACCACAAATCATGAGGACCTCAATGGACTTTGCAGTTACATGTACATGTTATAGCATTCTTGGCACTACAGGACCCACAAAACTACAAATGGAAAATAGAGTACGGTAGATATACAGCGTAGGCTTGTGCTGTAAAATTACCTTTGACACATACAAACATCTAATATAAAGTAATAGGACACACTATGTTGAATAAGTATCCCAAAGTTTCTTTCTTAGGTTGCGTTTATACCACAAGCACATTAAAGTAAAATTCTACAAACAGGAAAATTACAGAAACACCCACCCATCTTCCTGTTCCTCTTCTGTGGTGTATGTCAAACTGGAATGAGCTGCAACACAGTCTGTCTCTCTCTCTCTCTATCCACTCTTTAGTGTGCGTATGAAGGATATTTATACCAGTATGTCTACTTTGCTCGACCCGCCCCCTGTTGACTTCATTGCTTTAGTTGGTTAGGTTTAGGCATGAGGAGTGTAATGTCACAGTCAGAGCCAATTGGAAGCAGAATAGGGATGGGCTTCACCTTCCAACCCAAAATAAAAAAACTGTTTACTCAGCAAAGGATGGGTGGTGCCAGTGGAGAACATCAGGTGAAAGCAGCTGATTTACAGGAAATAAATGTCACTGACAGCTGAGATTTCACTAATGTTCTCCACCTCACTCAGTTTTTACCAGTTCTTGTTGTTGTTGTGCCCTCTCTCAGACTTATTTGATCTGCACAACTATGATAGGAAAAGTCTCAATGTTTAAGTCATACCTGAACTTTTACTTTCCCTATGCAGTACGCTGACAAACATCAATAGCCTTGAACACATCTGAGAAACAAGGATGTTCTATAACCTTCTTCAACAAAAAAGTGAGTTTATTTATTTCGAATGAATTGTTAATATAAAGTCAAGTTTAAAACACGTTGGTATATATTTTTATTATTTTAACGAAATGATTGATAAAAACAAAGGCTCAGTCCAGAGTGGTGTGTTCAAAGTTTTCTGAGTTGAATATTCTGTGTAAATATTCAATAGGATGCATTATAATCTGATTGTATCATTAGGAAATCAAATCAGAACAGTCACACAAAACAGTATTTCTCTATTGATTTCCCTGCTTCCCTTTAGGTGACATTCAAATCCCCAGACCTTTCCAATGGATGGATAGGATGGAGTAAATGCTGTAAACCTTTTATATTGTATATACATGTACATACTTATATACATGTATATAAGTTATATAACATCTTGTTTACTGTAAACACAGTTTAAACAGAAATGATGGCTTATGCTTCCTCCTTGCTTCATCAGCTATGCAACATCAGATGATGTGAAACTCAGACTGACACAAGTTTGTGCATTTGGGGGGAGTCAGGGGACAGTAATCATAAACCCGAGATATCCTCGAAATGTCTATTGGAATGGACGTTGTATCTAAAAGGATTCAAAGAAGCACTCGTTACAGACATTGTTTGATCTATATTTCTTAAGATATTATGCAGCTTCAGGTTTTAAAAGCCTACATTATTTTGTACCACTGAGCTCTGGTAATAACATCATTGGAGTAGTCTCCACATGTGGTTTTGGCATCCATCATTGAAACAGAAAGCAGGTTGGTTAGGTTTAGGCACGAGGATTATCTTCCCAGGGAAATTCCAACAGTTATTTATAACACTACTGTACATTCACCCAAAAGCAAATGCCCAAATTGCTGCTGACACCATCTATAGATTGACTCAAAAACTTTACTTTCCCCTGATGCACTATGCCTGGGAGATTTTAATAACTGCAAATTAAACAAATTAATCTTTACCAGTACATCACCTGCCCAACCAGGATGAATAAGACTCTAGATGTATGTAATGGTTCTATAAAAGGGGTATACAAGGCTTCTCATTGGCCCCGCCTTGGTTCTTCTGATCACAGCACCATCTATCTCACCCCTGTATATAGGCCGGAGAGAAAGACGGAGAAGGTGAAGACAAGAGAAGTCTGTCTGGTCAGTAGCCTCTAGAGTTTTCCCCTCCCTGGTGTTCCTGTCTCTGTTTGTGTTTGTGTGGGGGACTCCTCCCACTCTCCGTGGTTGTCTGAGGACCTGATTACCTGCTCACTTGTCCGACTGCTTAAACCTGCAAGTCATCAACTCATCAGTCCTGCAGTATATCAACCCTGGTTCTTCATTCACTCTCTGCCAGATCGTTGTTTCTACATGACAGTGCCAAAATAACCTTCATAGTGGGCCTTCATATGGGGAATGTATTAAACTGGGCTACTGCTACTATTTCATTTCTGAGCTGAGGAAGGTTTTTGATCAGCCACTTCAGGGAAATGTTCAGGGAGCGGGTGAGTGCATATATTGTGGTCAGACTGGTCCTTTCCTCGCCACCTGCCCCCTTCAGCCAAAAGGAAGGGCTCATCGGTAGATCTGAGGATACTGGTGAGCCAAACTTCTTTGTCTGTTCCCCGACCTAGTATGCAAGACACTCTTTTTTTGGAATAATGAATCTTGGTCTCTGTCAGCTTTTGTGGATTCTGGAGCCGATGAGAACTTTATGGATCGGGAATTTGCTCTCCAGGCAGGCATTCAGATGACTGCACTCAGCCCCCCCTGATGGCTAATGCTCTTGATGGAAGGCTTTTGGCTCATGTGACCCACCAAAGTGCTCCTGTGCTTCTGCTTCTCTCTGGAAACCACCGTGAACAAATTTCAGCTCCATGTCCTACCATCACCTAATGCACCTCTGATCCTTGGACACCCCTGGTAATCAAACACAACCCTCATCTGGACTGGTCTACTGGTGAGTTGGAATACATCTTGCCATAACTCTTACTTGCAATCTGCTCTTCCTCCACCAGAGGTAGCTGCCATCCCACCAGTCTTTGAGCTGCCAGATTTGTCATTTTTCCCACCTGCTTGAATCAGACACCAGAGTCAGTGAACGCACCATGTCAACAAGATGAATCACGGTATGGGAAATCTTTAACTGATTCTTTTTTAACATTTTCAGTTCTTTAGGAAAAAAAAGGAAAATATAAATATAGTATTGATTTTTATTTTAGAAAACAAGCTTTCATCAGTAATTCAGCCATCTTCTCCTCCTCCTCCTGAAGAAGAAATTGTGTATCCGGGTAAGTGATTAAACATTTTTATTTGTTTTTTTGCAATAATTGTCTTTTCTACATGTAACTTCTGATGATCTGAAAGATATTAGTTCATTGCTGCACTCTCTGCTTGGTCATCTATAAATGCTATTAATAAACCTTTCTGCTACAAGTTATAATACAGTAGTTTTTAACTAATGCTAATAGGTTACAGGGACACATTTAGAAACTTGACTAACGTTAGTCATATGTGTCATATGTGAAGAAGACACTTGAGTGAGGGACATTAGTATGTTAGTATAACAAAAAAGTATTTGTTATTAAAACATTTTCTGTGTTATAAGACATTATTGGATTTTGTAGACGGTGCAAGGAGTCTAAAACGGGGTAGAAATCCGTATGCATCCAAAGGGTTGATAGACTACATCGCAGAGGTAAATGGTAAATGGACCTGTACTTGTATAGCGCCTTTCTAGTCTTCCGACCACTCAAAGCGCTTTTACATTACATGCCACATTCACCCTTTCACACACATTCACTCAGCGAGTCCATCGAACAGAAACTAACTCATTCATACACATTCACACACCATTTGGGGTTCAGTATCTTGCTCAAGGATACTTTGACATGTGGCGGGAGGAGCCGGCGATCGAACCCACAACCTTCTGATTAGTGGATGACCCGCTCTGAGTCACAGCCTCTCCGCTCATTCATCCAGAAACAAGCCAAACCCTCCACGAACCGCTTGTGGCCTTCTAAACGTCCTAACCCCGATCTGTATACATACTCTGAAATCCCCCTCTTCGAAGATTTGGTAAGAGAATCAGCCGGCACTATCAACGGAGCATCGGGTAAGTCGCTAAAGCTTAAAAAGAAAGTTGAACTATTTCCAGTGTTTGTACCGCGCACTAGTTTGAAAGACTCAACTCTTCCCCGGTGGCGTATGTTACGGTCTGTGTGTACTGCTATGTGGTTTGGAGAACAGCGCCCTCGATGGAGTGTTTTATATAATTTTCTATACAGGGCCCAGACCGTCGGAGGCGGGGGGGGTGTTTACTTACTTTTCAGAACATATGTATTAAGCATGGTATACCACGTACCTCCTTTCTCTTTCATTTGCAGCTGAGATCGACTTTGAAAGGTAATGGTGCGCCTTTACAGGGCCCTCTCACACCACATCCACTTCGTAAATTGTTTCACTCTGCTGGGAGCACAAGTGGTTTTGTATCGAGACTCTTCTGGTTCTTACTGCAGCACTCTTACAGACCTCTGGCGCTGGACACGATGTGGAGGAGAGATGTTCCAGATTTGAACTTACATTTGACTGGGATAAAGTGTGGATCAGTGTGGGCTTAGCATCCAGAAACCCTCATCATCAGCAAGTACATTATAACTATATACATATATAGCCTCATTTGATGAAGGTTATTAAGGATCCTACGGGCACTTTCTGTTCTTCCAAAGTGATTGGCAGTCATTTTCACGTGTTTTGGGAGTGTACCCCAGTGAATTTTGGAAGATGGTTGCCTTTAACCTCTCTAGGTTGTTTAAGATTAGATTTCCCTGTTCGCCTGCTACACTTATTTTGAATGATTTGTCAAGGCTGGGTTTGACACTGGACAAGAGAAGAGCATTGTTGGCTGGACTTACGGCTTCAAAAAAACGAGTTGCCACATGTTGGAAACCTCCACATCTTTTCGAGCATGGGTTTTCACATATTTGGATATTGTTTATTTGGAGTTGTCGACAGCTAAAGTCCGCGGAGCAAAAGAGTCAGCAATAGAGGCTTGGCATTCACTCTTAACTATCCTCTGTGGGTTTCAGGTGTAATATGTGACTGAGATATGGAGTTCTGGATCCAGGGGGTGGGTGGGTTATATTTGGGGTTGTGATTTTTGATTTTATTTATTTATTTATTTTATTTTAGTTGTTTCTTCATATGTATCTGTATATATGCATATGTATAGGTATGTATGTGAATATATATTTTAATGCTCTATTTTTGTAACGTGCATATACCTATTTGTATTTTTCTTTAAAATAAAATAAAAACTTGATCACAAAAAGAAAAGTAAGTAAGGCCATTTGAATAAATGGATAAAGAACACTTTTTAGAACCTTTTTACCTTTCTGATTTGGAGCTAGCAGTAAAAGAATTAAACTAAATCTCCCCAGCTTCCGGTAGATGTAGCCGATGCTAATGTAGGTGAAAATTCCTCAGCACCCGAACAGTTTAGAAGACTCTCTGCAACACCTTAATCAAAACCATCCTACTTTTCTTCCTCCTCCCACTCGCAGTCAAATGCAAACCAAGTAATTTCTGATTTTGAAAACTTTTTTCACCCTTTAGAAGACGCTCTCCTAAAGCTTAACCAGATTCCATCGTCCTCCTGCTCCCACTCGCAATTGAATGAAACCCGAGTAATTTCTGGTATTGAAAACCATATTCAACCTCCACCAAACCCTGTCACCCTCCCGCTCGCAGTCAAATGAAAACTAAGTTCTGCCTATTCCCTCTTTCAAACCATTTCATGATCCAAATTTAGAGGAAAATAGAGAAGTTAATAGAAATGTTTAACAGGGTTGAGGGAATGTGGGGAGGCAAGCTGATTCAGCCACCACTCCCTCCGCATCCTCCTCTTCCAACACTGACTGTGCCCCGCAATCTGTTTAACAATCTAGAGATGAGAAGTGTGTTCACCGTTCCCCCTCCCAGAAACATACCGGATCTTGTTCAATTTTGTACCAAGTTGCTGCAGCGGCCCAGGGTTCGAATCCGACCTGCGGCCCTTTGCTGAGTGTCATCCCCTCTCTCTATCCCCCTTTCCTGTCTATCTTCAGCTGTTACTATCAATAAAAGCAATAAAAGGCCAAAAACATACATACATTATTTTTATTTTTTTTAAACGGCATCCGTACATTGCAGTAAATAGAAATGGTTGCCTCTGCTTCACCATCAGCTTAGCACGTCATCAATTTATTAATTTCAAGTTACAAAGTCTTGCCCGTCTGTGCTGTCACCTTTACTGATGTCGGCAAATTTGAGACTATTCTGAACCGTAAAAATTGTTTTTACAGAAGCCCAGAACGCCAACCCCTCTCTCAATTTGAGTCAGTTTTCCCTGACAGATTTAATCCCGTTTCTCTTTTTATTCCAAAACCATTATTACGGAATAAAAAATCTCAAAGCCTTTCTAGGGGTCCCGTATGTCCATTACTGCTACAAAAGCTACATGAAGCCCTATGCACACCAATGCAAAGGTCACTGCTCCGTCTGTAATGACCCTGACTGTACTAAGCATGAGCTCCAAACCGTAGTATGCACCGACTGCAACAGGACATGCCGTACGCCTTTGTGCTTTGACAGACATAAAGAGCCAAGAGCAAGACCTTCGGGCGAAACCTGCAGCAGTACTTGTGATACGATCAAAAGATGCCAAAATGCAAAAAACATACTATGCGGCTAAAGGTAAAGGTCCTAAATATAACATGTGCGGAGAGAAATTAACCCCCGCCTCTGACAGACGATCACTGTTGCTACTTTCAGCCTCTGCCTCCAACTACGGTCATATGGAGAAATTGATTTTCTACGACTTTGAAATGATTGTTGGTCAGCATGATGGGCACAAACCTTTTCTTGTGTCTACCAATATGCTCACTGGTGAACGTTGGTCATCTTATGGTTTAAACTGCCAGGGACTTTCTCCTGCATTTCAGGAGGCCGACGTACCAGAGCGCTATGTTTGTAGCCCATAATGCTGAAGGATTTGACAGCTACTTGATCCTCAACAACATGATAGAGATGGGAATAGAACCCTCTCTCATCATGCAAGGTAGTAAAATTCTGTTTCCAAGATCCCGATTGCAACTTAAAATTCAGATTCCCTGTCTTTCCTCACCATGCGTCTTAGCGCTATGCCCAAAGCGTTTCCCTGATCAGACCAAGGGTTATTACCCTCATGGCTTCAGTTCAGAGAAGAATTCACAGTAAATAGGGCCCTACCCTCTGCCGCATGATTACGGAGTGGAACGCATGACTCTGCCTCAGCAGGAAGAGTTTTACGGCTGGTACAGAGCAAGTCAGGGTACGTTTCCCTTTGAGAGGGAAGCTCTGCGATACTGTAAATATTATGTTATTCTCGCCAAGGGTTGTATCACATTCAGAAATCAGTTTCTCAGGGACACAGTTGTAGACCCTTTCAGCCGCATCACCATCACCTCTGCCTGCATAAAGGTATTTCTCACAAATTTCCTCCCTCCCTAAAACCCTAGCAATACCTTCGCCCGATAACTACAGACGCCAAACCAAAAGTTACTTTCACGCCTCCATTCAGTGGTTAGAGTGGGTAGCGCGCAGCAAAAATATCTTTATCCAACACTCATTAAACAAGGGAGAGAAACAAATGGGGCCTTACTATGTTGTACCCATATGTAAACTGTATCTTTTCCTACCCCTTAGGTCACCCCACCATCATCGACAAAGACTTTGACGCGCCTCAAAACTACTTTGGGGTAATCAAAGCCGCCATCTACTCGCCTAGGGATCTCCTTTTACCCATTTTACCATACAGAACATCTTGAGGTAAATTGGTGTTCACCCTCTGCTGTACCTGTGCTGAAATCAACAATCAGTCGGGTCCCTGTAGATGCGATGAGCAAGTCAGAGCGTTGACGGGAGTGTGGGTTAGTGTTGAATTAAACAAGGCTCTCGAACTGGGGTATACAGTTGCCAAGATCATCGAAGTGTGGCACTTTGACCGATGTAACGATTTCATTTTTGTCAGCTACATGCACACCTTCCTGAAAGGTAAGCAGGAAGCGTCAGGCTACCCACCCGAGGCCGTTGATCAGGAAAGCAGAGAAAAGTGCATCAGGGTATACAGTTAGATGCTGACAAAATTTAAGTGAACCCTGCAAAGAGGCAGGTGTGACAAAACCGCTATGATTCAGTGATATTACCACAAGCAGTGTGTCGTACCTCACGGTAGAGCCAATAATGTGTTTATCGCCACATTCACTACCGCCTA